AAGAAGGAGCCCCACTCAGGCCGATAATCAGCAGCATTAACTCGGTCACCTACAACATTGCCAAACACATTTCCACCATCTTAGCTCCATTGGTGGGAAACACGCCTCACCACATCCAAAACTCTATTGACTTTGTAAACAAAGTTCGAGGACTAAAACTGGATCCAGATGAAACCATGGTATCCTATGACGTGACTTCTTTGTTCACCTGCATCCCCACCATAGAGGCAGTAGAAACCGTTAGGAAACGGCTAACACAAGACAACACCCTGGACAACAGAACTAGACTCAGCCCTGACCAAATCTGCAAATTACTCAACCTCTGTCTAAACGCCACCTATTTCCAGTACAACGGTGGATTCTACAGACAGAAGCATGGCTGTGCCATGGGCTCACCGGTATCCCCGATTGTGGCCAACATCTACATGGAAGAAGTGGAGAATAAAGCCCTCAACTCCTTCAGAGGAATAGCACCGAGCCACTGGTACAGATATGTGGACGACACCTGGGTCAAAATCAAAAGCCAGGAAGTGCAAGCCTTCACAGAACACATCAACTCTGTGGACAGTAACATCAGGTTCACACGAGAAGATGTTCACAACAACAGTTTGGCCTTCCTGGACTGCGCTGTACACATTGAAGAGGACAGGAGCCTGCAGATTGGTGTTTACAGAAAACCCACACACACAGACCAATACCTACTCTTCGATTCACACCACCCACTGGAGCACAAGCTAGGGGTCATGAGAACACTGCATCACAGAGCAGAAAACATACCAACAAGCGCCCAAGCCAGGGAGAAGGAACAGAACCACCTGAAAAGGGCACTTACAGCCTGTGGATACCCTAAATGGACTTTTGTGAAGACAGCCACAAAATCCAAGAAGAACAAAACTACAGGGGAGGAGGAAAAGAAGGTCAAACGCAACAACATTGTGATTCCATACGTGTCTGGAGTATCAGAGAAACTCAGGAGGATTTTTAACAAACATAACATCCCTGTGTTTTTTAAACCCAAAAACACACTAAGACAGATGCTGGTACACCCCAAAGACCGCACACCCAAACACAAGAAAAGCAATCTAGTGTATGCGGTCCAATGCAGTGAGGAATGCACAGACCTCTATATTGGGGAGACTAAACAACCACTACACAAACGCATGGCTCAACACAGAAGGGCCAACTCCTCAGGTCAAGACTCTGCTGTCTACTTACATCTGAAGGACAGAGGACACTCGTTTGAGGACCACCAGGTGCACATTTTAGACAGAGAAGATGGATGGTTTGAAAGAGGTGTCAAGGAAGCCCATCTACACCAGGTTTGAGAAGCCGTCATTGAACAGGGGAGGGGGTCTACGCCACCACTTATCCCCCACTTACAATGCTGTCCTTTCATCACTTCCCAGGAAACTCAACAAACGTAACCTATTGGCCTCAGGTGAAGATACCAACGATGGTCGTTCAGTCTTGGCCACAGGTAGTCTTAACGACTGTAACGACTGTCGTCACAGCAACAAGGAACACTAACGAACCAGCGGTATCGATGACCTGGGATAACGATCCCACTGAGGTTAAATAGCTGAGTTTCCCTGCCAGTCAGTCAGAACTGAAGAAGTCCTTTGGATAAGGGACGAAACGTCTTCCAGTAGCTTCAACCAAGTCCAGTTGCCCTTCATTTTAACCTTCGTTGGATAAGGGTTGCATACGTAACCCGAGACGTTCATCATAGTTTATAATAATGCAGTGCAGTGAGGATCAATACATTTCATAGAGGAGACAGCTCTGACTCCAATCCTGCAGTGGAGTTCAGACACTTCACTGATAAACCACAGAGCTGCAGAGTAACATTAGGCTTCATGATCACAGACTGTTTTTATATCACATCCACACATCCGTCCACCCCTCCTATCCCTCCGCTCTACATTTCAATCCATTTGATGGTTTATTATATTTATAATGCGCCATTCATGGGTTTTTGGTTTGGGATGGAATATTTTCCTGTTTGATTCTTGTTTATGCCATTTTTCGTGTGTTTCTCTCCTTGCCTCAGTATTTCTCATCCCTTGTCTTTGGTTATTTATGTTTTGTTGGTAATTAATTTGTGTGCCATTTTTACTTTTACTTTTTTACTTTGGTAAATCCGTCCTTGTTTGTTTCTGTGTGTTTTTTACTTCCTGTGTTATTTTGTAGTGATAAGTTTTTGTGTCTTTGTCTTTGCTACGTTTTGTCGGTGCTGAACTTGCCCCTGATGTGTTTTATCTGTGCACTCCCTGCTCGTTTGCCCCTGTATTTAATGTGCTCAGTTCTGTTTAGTCCTTGTTGTGTCCTCGTCTTATGTTGAGTGTTGCCCTGCTTGTCTGCATGTTCTCAGTTAGGATTTTTGTTCCATGTTTTGGATTCCCGGGCTTTGTTTGGACTTCTGCATGTACATGTAAGCCTGAGTATTTCTTACCGCACCAGTACTTCCAGTGTCCTGCATTTCGGTCCACTTATCAGTTTTTTTCCTTGGCACTCGGCCATTGTCCACGACACAGTGTACTAATAAAAATGATAAAAGTCTAATTTCTTTCACATTAACAGCAAATTGCAAACAGGAGAATCTGAGAAATGTTATTGCACTATGTTATCAAACACAGTCTGTACATGTTTCCCACACCTGAGAGGAGGTCTAATCTGGCAAAAAAAAAGTAAAAAAAAAAAAAAAACCATATGTGTAAGGGTTTGATGCTAATGTTGATTTTTTATGACTTTCCATGAATTTGATGAAGTCTTTGTCAGATATTTTAATCACTGAATTAGACAAAAACACTCCCATTGGGTCTTTCATCCCCAGGTTTCAAATTGCTCACTTTTTCACACACTTTCTCAATTTATTTAGTAGAAAATGTGCTGTAGCCTATTAATATTAAAATACAGTATATATTACAATATAAATAAAGGATTCTGTCCCACTAATTACGAAACAAGTTTTCATTCCTGAATTAACAATGTATGTATGATTTCATTTTATGTGAGGACTTCTGTACCTGCTTATGGTCAATTTCTTATTTGGATATGTACAATTTAGACTTTATATGTATGTCATTTATATATTCGACATTAGTTACATTAAATGCTGCAGTCTTTGGAACCATCACTGTTAAAACTGCAGTATATATAGTGATGCTGTACCATGTGTTTAAACTGCACATCACAGTGAGAGTTGGATGTCCAAAATTAAAAAGACAAAAAAACCCCCCAACATATCATGTTGTCTGTTGTCCTCTTCCTTTGCTTTGATCCACGATTTTAACTTTGTAACCTAATTTTGGAATAAGTGACTGGAATGCAAAACAGCCCACTTTGTGGGGATACAATCTTCCCCTGTTCCCAACTATTGAATTTTGATGAGGAGAACTGTAAGATAATGATCTTAATATAATAATAATAATAATAATAATAATAATAATGATAATAGTGAAAATCTTTATTTATAGAGCATGTGTCCAAACCCATGTTACAAAGTGCTTCACACAAGGCAACAACTTCATAACAAGCAGATCATAAAAAATATTTCTGATGTGTTTATGTTACAAGGTGTGTTTTCTTAACACCTTTGATTGGAAGCATGTCCCTGAGGTTTAATACATCATTATTTATCAAGAACGTGTGAAGAGGCTGCCACGCAATATGGATCATTATATTTGGTATAATGACATGTTGTTTCTCAGTTTAGGGAATATCATATTCTCTTAGGTATTTGTCAGGTTAGGTGTGTATGTGGTGTGGTGTAGTGTTGACAGTTCAAATGTACATCCAAAAAATGTTACAGTAATATTGTTTCTCATTGTTTGAGATTGTTTTATTTACATGGTTCCTGGCAAAAAATAAGTTATACTTGTCACAAATTTGTAACCCAAAAACTCATCTATAGGTTCTCAGTAAGAATTTAGAGAAATGTGAGATTAAAAAGGCAAACATTAAGGCCCACACACAACCACATTTAAACAATACAAGTGTTAACACAATGATGTTTAGAAGGTAGGCCAAGATAATGTTTATCATCTTCACCATATTAGTTAAATGCTAAACACAGAATTACTAGAGTTAGATTAGTCATTTAATGAAATTGTTGATCAATAGAAAAATAATCAGGAACTATTTTTTCTTAATTGAGTATCACTATTTAAGCATAAATGGAAAAAAACAATCCCTATTTCCAGCGTTTGTGAAATTTTGGTACTAGGCTTTGTCCTATGAATGCCTTTGTTTTGACTGTAAGACATTTCAAGACCTTGAGTTACATCAGTTTGGGCTTTATGCAATTATGATTCTATCATTTTATATATCCCCACTAAACAAACAAAAATAAATAAATAATACATTTTGACTTGCTGGTGGGGATAAAGGGGATCACAAATGTCTGTACATAGCCTACTCCAGGGGTTTTCAAAGTCTTAGACTTTGGACTTCCCGTTGGACAAAGCTTGGGAAAATACGCCTCCCCACCCCCCTTAGTTTAGTTGTTTATAGTTTCGCTTAATTCCTGGATGCCTGTGGGATTGTGATTTTGATCAACAATTGAGCCATGGCAGGCAGATTGTCTTTAGGCATGTTTTAGTTCCTGACTTTTGCAAGTTGGGAAAAACTAAAAATCCCCCAAACACCTGTGTTTCTGAACATTTCTCTTTAGCCAGACCACACACATTTAGGCTTTTCTATGTAATCTGTCCCCTGGGGAGGCCTCTCCCACTTTGAAAGCCTCTGGCCAACTCCATGCATAGACTTGACCAAGGTTAATTGAGATTTTTCAGTCTTGAGTCCACCAACAAACACGTTGCCATCTCAAAAGGCTAAAATACTTTAATAAAAGTGGATAGAAAATATGTCATTACCTGCACAAATCTGTCTTTAGTCTGCAAGAATCGTCAAAAAATATGTAATTAAAAAAAATAATAAGAACATTTCGCGTCGGTCCACGCAAACACACTCAATAACACAGCGCCCTCTGGGGGCCGGCGGAGCGATAGATGTTTACTGAATTAAACGTAAAAGATGGAGCCAACGTTCAGTCCGCCGCTTCACATGCAGAGGCATCAATTTGTCATCGATTTTGTCAAGAGGAACAAAACACAAAAGGTAGCTACGGTCTCAATAAGAGACGGAAACATCACTTTAACTTCAAAGCCAACGGTTGCTAACGATAATTCTCAAGCTAACGTAATCACGCAGCTTAGTGAACTTTTTCACCGAACCAATTAACGTTAACGCCACGCAGCTAATTTAACGTTAACGTTAACCAGCTTCTTTGCGCCCTTCCTAACGCGAAATCAAGATGTTAACAAGGTTTGCGTTGTTTGCCGTAATAACTTTAACATCAACCTTGATAGTTGTACTCTCTTCTCCTCCTCAGGTGGTGGACTTGGGGTGCAGTGAGTGCAGCCTGCTCAAAAAACTGAAGTTTCACCGTGAAATTGAACTGCTGGTTGGAGTGGACATCAACGGTGCCAAAGTAAAAAGAAAGATGTACGTAAACTGACTGAATACTTAATCATTCAGGATCGGCCACATTGTTGAAAAAATTAAGTTGAGTTTTCTTCTTCTAATACCAATAATCACATTCACACTGAGGACGCAGGGGACATGTCCCCACCACATTTTGAAATGGCTGATTTTGTCCCCACCACATTTTGAAATGGCTGATTTTGTCCCCACCACATTTTTTGAGAGCATTTGTTACAAATGTTCTGAAAATAGCTTGCACCAAAAAATGTTAACTAACAAATTAAAATTCTTTGAGAAAGAAGACATCCAATGAAATTTAAAAATAGAAGAAACAAATGTGCATTGTCCAAAAAAGTAGCTAAAAAAAACAAGCGGCTGATGACTGCATTATATTCTGTTATATTTTTAAATTTATGAATTATCATCTGCCAGCTGAATTTTCCCCTTTTATATAAATATAGACATTTCCACCATAAATTGTAGCAGAAAATGTCTCCAGAATGCAGGAAATTCAGTATTTAATGCTCCAGTTTTCTGGGGGAGGACACAAAGAACCCCTGCTCATATATTTCAGCATTCCCTTCTTCAAAATAGTGTTGAATAAAATCTTCTCGTCTTGTTCTGGCTCATTGTCACGTCTCATGATCCAAGTGTATCATCATGCCCTAATCTGAGCGCTTATGTCCCCACCACTTTTCAACACAAAGTGACGCCCTTGCCAATAATGTGAACGTTACATGGCACGATAACAGAGCTGAAACACAAAGCAATTAATCAGTCAGTGTAACAACAGAAAAATAATCAATCAATTTATCATTTCCGTCTCAAATGTAAGCATATCAAATGCTATGCTGCATTTGAGTGTTTTGATTTAAATCATAATTTTAAAACAAGCTATTTCAAAATGTCTTTGGTTTTGCACTGTGTGACTGATTTCAGATATTAAACAATTAATGGCTTTATCTGAAAAGAGAACATGAATTAGTTGCAGCCCCAGATGTATTCTAAGTCGCATAAAATAGTCAAATGAATGGTCAGTGCAATGACGTTTTACAGCAACATCCATTTTATCCGTTTCCATTCAATAAATCACACAACTTTTAATGAAAACTAACACTTCAGTAACGCATTTTGTTTTTTTAATACTGTTTGCTTGTAAACATTTATGTGAACTATGTAATTTTGTAAAACATTAACACAATATGATTTATATCATTTTACTAAAAGTTGATAAATAATTTACCCAGCCTTTCTATAATTAAATCAGTTAAGAGAAAGTCTAGGTTGTCCGGACTAGTGTACCACATGTCTAAGCTATTAAAACACAATTTTTATCTAAATAGTTGGTTTCTTAAATGTCGTAGGACTCAGATCCACATAAAACATCAGTAGTTCCTCTTGCAGGGCCCCGAACTTTAAAAAATAAAACCTTCACAAAAAAAGAAATAAGAAAAGCCAAGATTTTGCTCCTTGGCTCCTCAATCGACTCGTGCGCTTTGGCTGTGTTTTGTTAACACTGTGTGGATTGATAATATGCATAATCTGCTTGTATGTTCCCGCAGGCATGGATTAGCTCCTATATCAAGTTACTATCTGCAGCCAACATATGATCAGCTGCGCATTGAGCTGTACCAGGGCTCAGTCACACAGAAAGATGTCCGCCTCAGAGGATTTGATCTGGCGACCTGTATAGAGCTGTAAGAGGCTGTTTGGCTGTTGAGTTTCAGTGTTGATGTGTTTGAGTTTTAATGAGTCCTTTTTAGTCAATTTATTATTGTGCTTATTTTCTTGTGTTCTCTTCCATGTTTACCTGGTCTTTCTATCAGGTGTGGTTTTCATATTTCTGTTTCTCTGTGTGTCATTATTTATCATGTTTTCTCCCTGGCTGTCTGCAGCATAGAGCACCTCACACTTGCTGATGTGGAGCGCTTCTCTGAGGTGGTATTTGGTTACATGACCCCAGTGGCGGTTATCGTCAGCACCCCTAACTCTGAGTTCAACCCCCTTTTCCCTGGTCTGACAGGTTTCAGGCACAGTGACCACAAGTTTGAGTGGACCAGAGCAGAGTTCAAGTCCTGGTATGCTGTTATAAGGATCCATTTTCATTTTGAGTGTCAACCCTACAACACACCAGCACTGTCCTCACACAGAAATATCCTTTAATGAACAATAAAGATTTAAATTGAATTCTGTTGACATTAAATCCATCCTCAGGGCTCTTAAGGTGTGTTTGGAGTACGGTTATGAGGTGGACTTTACTGGTGTTGGACAGGCACCACCAGGCCAGCAGGAGAGAGTCGGCTTCTGCTCCCAGATTGGTGTGTTTCACCGGCTTGGAGGGAGAGATTCCTGCGACATGTTGTATGGTGACGATGCTGAGGATATGTTTTCATACACACTGGTGAGTAGACTTCTTTATAGATCAGTCATGTTGGGGATCATGCTGACCCAATATTCAAGAACATATAAACTGTCTTGATAAACTGTTGCTCTCGTCTTTCACTATCAAATAAAGGCAAAAATAGTATGTAATCAGGTGTTTTAAACAATGTGTGACAATTGACTGACATGTTAATGACATTGCTGAAACGGTCAAAACCAACGTAGTAACAAATTATATCTGCCTTTGTGTTCACTGTTTCTTTACCTGGTTTGTGCTTGTAAAATAATCACCGTGTCCACGTTTTATAACATAATACCAGATAGCATCTCTGTCTGTGTTTCTCTGCAAAATAGACTTTGTTAATATACCTAGGTGGCCTGGATGTAGGAAACACTGGATAAACATAGATGCTAAGTACACAAAAGTACCACAAGCCAGTCTTTCCCAAATTTAGCATTGCGTCCCATCATGGGCCCCAGAACAATGCTATCAGTGCTTAATTTGTAAATCAGGAGGTCTGGGAACAAACATCATAAATCCACAGTGCCTGGAGAATATTAGGCTAGACAACGTCTGGGTGCTAGCTGTTAAAACTTAACTTATCTGTCATCACAAACAAAGCATTATTTATTTAAAGTTATTAATCCGATGATTCACAATTTTCATTCAGAATCAGCAGGGTGAGGCGCAAAGAAGCGTCTCTATCTCGCTCTCTGTTTCTGAGTCTCCCTTCACGTCCCTGTCGTTTCTCTTCTGTCTATAGATCGCTGCTACAATGGGGGAAATGGAATTAGGGCCGAAAGTTGTATTTACAACCATGAAAAGCTAGCTGGCTAAGAAACTGAACTAAGTCACATGGTCGGTCTGTTTGTTTCAATTCTATGGACAGCGCCACACCTACACAGGCGCACCCTAATTTAGCTGGACTCATTTCACCGACTCCTACAGCTCAGCTGTGGGGCTTACAGTAATCAAACATTAAAATTAAACATTAACCATACAGTGCATATATCACTATATTAGGTAGGTTTTGATCACATTACACTCACAGTACAATCACTTGCTGTGATACAGCCTACGTTTTATACTTAAACCCACTCCCAACTCCAGCTGACATATTGAGTGGATTGCTCAACTAATAGCATATTCATAACAGCAGTAAGGAGTATTTTTTTGTTTTGTTTTACAAAACATATAATGTTTCTTTACGCCACCGGTTAAAATAAAAGCGCATGCATTTATTAAGGGCAGTATTTAGTATTTTTACAAAACATGCAACGTTGCTTTACGCAGTTTCTTTCTATAAGTTTAACATTGCTGTGCTGCCTTTAATAAATGTAAAAGATAAAGACTGAAGACATGGACAGAACACTGGTTTTATCATTTCATGCAGTGTTTTAGATTTTATTTATAAATGAACTTAATTTATTCACTATTTATTTATCAAGTAAATACGATGGGACAATAAAAATTTAAAGAAAAAAGTAAAGCACTGGACATGGGGATAGTACCACAAATGGATACGCCTCAGAACATGATAACCAGGGTCTACATAGTGAATATGTTTTTAGTTTTATATTTTGTAGTTTAGTAATATAGTACCTTTGTGTTGGTGACCAACCACAACATGAGACTTGGCAGTGCACATATACTGTTAAGTGTGAGGCACTGTCCCCTTTAAAAATGTAAGTAAAACAAAGTAAAAATAAACTCTCAATTATGGATGAATAAATTAGCTGGTCAGAGGAGGGATTCAGCAGACTGTAATGTAAGTCTTGGACTTCCATGTCATGAAACAGGCAAGAAGGTTTTTAAAGCGAGATGTTTCTGCACCAGGCAAAGTAATAACTGACTTAATGTTATTGATCAGCAACTGTATTGTATACAGAGTTATACTGGACTGCATTCTATGATAAGTTGATATTGTGATTTATGTCTTTTGATCCGTTTCTGTGTCAGCTGTATAGTATAAACTACCCCAGCCTGCGTGACCAAAACATCTTGCGTAGGGTGCTGGTGAGTGAAGTGTTGTACTGGGCAGAAAAGCTGAAGGGAAGATGGCTCGAGCAGAAGAGGGATTACAGTTTTACACTGTGCCAGACTGAGAGAAGAGGGGAGGAATGTCTCGGAGTGTCAGAGCGACGCATGGAGATGGAAAACAAACAGACAGGTGAACATCCCCAGCGGCTATTTTCAGTCCCTAAAATAGTTGTATACAGTATATTAGATAATATGGAAACCAATATTGAAAACAGTAGGTTCAGTAAAAAGTGACTTGAAATATTTTACTGTCTAAAATAGGAAATGGTCAGTAAGATCTTTTTGTTTGTTTGTTTTTTTAATCAAATGCTTCTTTGGGGTATCGTGTTTTGTAAAATGTTCTTGGCCAATTAAACACATGGAATGCTTACAGTATGTTTCTCTTGAAACAAAAAACAAAAGCATATGCAACAGCAGCATGTGGAGCAGAGATGTGTGGCAGAGGTGTGGCAGAAGATACGGAAAGAAAGGATGAAGAGTTGTCTTGGACAAATGTTCAAGGTCAACATGAGTTGCACAGGTGTGTTTCCCTGAAGAAGATGAGGAGGATCAGCGTGGCTCTGAATCAGAAGGCAGTTTGTGGCATGCAGATCATGAAGTTTCTGTGACATATAATTTTGACTGGCTGTAAAGATGGTGGCTTATCTTCCAGTTGGTTCATAACATTTAAGGCTTTACCAAATCAGCTATTAAAAAGTACTAAAGTATCACAGTAAACCAAAAATGTAACTCCATAAATAATCACTCACAAATTTATAAGGTTAGCTGTTTTCTCCTAAGAAAAAATTGTTGATGTAGCTGCATGTGTCTCTCAAATATTATTATTATTATTATTATTATTGGTGTTATATTTGAAAAATATTTCTCAACATTTGTCTGCAGGTATTTCTGCCTCCGGAGCTGTAGAATCTGGATGGGTGGTTGCGGGCCGCTTGCTTCTCTCATGTTCATGCTCGACACCCGCTGCTACAATTATTATTATCATATTATTTTATTATTGTTCATTTTTATTTATTATTACCACTACTATTATTTTACATCTCTGTATGTTCTCTTTCCTCCTGCTCACTCTCTTGCTCCCCCTCTCTCTCCTTTTTCCATTGTCGCCAAGTGCTTGCTCATGGTGGGAAATGTTGGGTCTCTGTCAATAATTTTACAGATAATGGTAGACCAATAGGCCAATATCTGGCATTTTCAGATTATAGCATATATATTGTTAAACTATAGAGAATAATGCAGTTGAATGATGTCACTTCTGACACCAGTCACGTTCTGAAATCTACAGCATAACCCACTATATTTTTCTTTCCTTTCATATCCATCACATTACTGACTTAGTTAACCATGTATAATAGATTGTACTCTACATGGAATATTGGGATTATACATGACTTGCTATATAATAAAACTGAATTGATTTGTCACAGCTATCGAAAGGGTTTCATATCATCACCTTTTCTGTGCTGGTAGGTTTGTGTCTGTACCTCTGGCTGTGCTGTGGTACCGCTGCCCCAAAGTCAGCGCCCTAAGTGGGAATCTCACTAATCTCAAACACATCCTGATGGAGGCCCCTGAAGTAAAATTGAGCCAGGACGGTTCTGCTGTGCTTGTACAGGACCAAGGTACTGTTAACATTTGAACACTTTGCCTATTATATTACATTTATATTTTACATTTATATTGAAAGGGGGAAGACTATGTTATAAAATGTGAAATGAGTTGCTTTTCCACTGGGTTCAAATTCTTATTTATCACATACTCAACATATCTAAAACATTTTGCAGTTAAATGCTTTCATGTTGGTAAGGCCTTCAACACTGCAAAAATGACAGACGAGGCCTGTTAACATCACACTGTTATCGGAGATGTGTCACACTGGTTTTGGATATTTGATGTGCTTCTCAATCTGCCACAACCAGAGCTGTTGACTGTTTAAACTTAGTCCCTTTTTCCAATGTAACATTTACTCAGCAAAATGGAAATAATGATGGCAGTAACACCACTTGCTTTTTCTGACACTGGTTAGTAGTCGTCTTGGCTTTAATCTTTCCACTACAAATGCAATACCACGATTTGCCCATGAGATGTCACCAGTACTTCATAACAATGAGCCATTTTCAGCACAATGGCTTCTTAAGTAGTTGACAAAGCTTAGTTTTCCCAATCACCACTCCCCACAACTAAGCTCTCTGCATTTATGGAAGTCATGCATCATCGGCTGATTTTGCAATGTTTATTTCCTGCTCTTATGCGTATTCTATGAATTTGATAACGCAATGTTTTCTGTAGTTGTGACACTGGTCTTCATTTGTGTTTTTAGGCTTTGAAGAAAAAGGGGATTGTAATGATTTGGAGGACAGTGGGTATGCAGAGGCCAGCCAGTACTCCCACAGTGATGAGCAAGAGGAAGCCTGGGACACAAATGTTTGATCTGCAAGATACAGCTTTGTTTTCGGGACTAGTAGGTGACTGGTTTAATTTTACCAAAGAAAATCATGAGTAGACAAATGGTTTCTCTTGGTCACTACTGGACAGTGCGAGTTGCACTGACAAATCCCATGCTGCACTGTGGAAACTTTGGTTTGATTTGTTAGATGGCTAGTTTGGGCTGCTAACTTTAGTTTATAGTATTTCTTAAGGTAGGTCAATGGAAAAAATTGGCCATTGGCCTCTAAAATATGAATTTACTGATGGAAGATGACTCAGACAAATCCACTGTAAATTGTTCAGTAAAACTCTAAATGTGAGAAAATGTTCATATTGTGATTGTTGTTTTATATTGTTTTATATACCCAGGCTGAAACACAATCTACACATACTTACAGTTTTTACACAGTTTTATTCAACAGTGCAAGGTACACATTTGAAGCATCCAGTACACTTGTTAAGGAAGCAAATGTTAAAAGAACAAGTCTGTAACAAGAAACACTGGACAGTGTCAGAACAGCGCAGAACATCACTTTACAGGAGAATACATTTTACAATTTAAATAGACAGCTTCACAGAAGAGAAGAAACCATGTTTGTAACAACATGTTAGGTACCAAGATGAACATACCTGTGTGACACAGGTAAAACAAGTGACGTGTATCCAATAAACACACAAATCTCCAATAGTTGATATTTGGTAGCCATAAATCATACATTTAACACTGTTTTAACTATGTAGTGAGAACACTTCACCCCCTCTTAACAATAAAATATTCAGCAAAAAATATGGCACAATATCAGCAATGAAAAGATATGATTTTCAACATTGGACATTTAAACTATGCTGACAATTACACAAAGCACACTGACTTACAGTTACATCACACAGTGTGTGGATATCAGCTTTTAAGATGAATTAATGAACAAAATGATTTCCTTCATGCGAAATAGGCAAGCAAATTTGTTCCTTCAGTGTGGAAATATTCAGATTAAAAGAGGGCACAATGTCAAATTAAGGAAAACCATGAAGATGTGTCAAATTCTGCAAGCTAACAAAAACATCTTAATCATGCAGAACATACAAAAACACTGACGTATAGTTAAAACACCATACACTGATGACGCTTGTGCAGATATTGATATAACATGTATATAGTTTATGTAGAAGAGGAAGTATCCTACCTCCCTATGGCTTATGACAGAAGATTACAGATACTGTACAGTCTGTTTTCACTAGTTATGTGTAATATTCTCCTTATGCATAGGCCTGACAGGGTCCCAGGTAATAACAGTGTCATGTATACTTTGGTTAATTTGCTAACTTAATAAATTGTGCACTTAATATACTATTCTGCTAAAAAAAAAGAAAATGCGAATAGTCAGCATGCATGACACCATCGGGATTTTTATATTGTTGTCAGATCAGATTTCAGTCTGTAGCACTAATCAGTCATGTATTGATTACCTTGGTTATTACACTGGTTATAAGACTGTTCTCAATTCTAACAGTTGATTAGATTTTAGGAGATGCACATACACACAAAACGTTAATCTGGGTCTTTTTAAATACAGATGCTGTATTTCCTTCATGGCAGTGGATTACTTAATTAGTCCTTCACAGTACAATCTTAAAGTGAAACAAACTTCAGTATCTAACAGTTGCACATTAATGCAGTTGTTGATATGTCACAGAATCTTCCATATGTTCACTGATGGAAGCTTCCTGATCAACAGGCCAGCTCAGAAAGACGTTGAGTTGCAAAGTGTAGGTACTAGTGTTGTAGTACTTGAGACCGGTCTTAAGACCACTTTTTGTTGGTGTTGGTCTTGTCTCGGACTCGACCGCATTTGCACTCGGTCTCGGACATTGAGGACTCGGGAGTTTATTTCAAGACCAGTCAAGACCGTAACTTTGGGATCAATAAATAGCTTTTGCATTGTCTGATTTATTTAACATCGTAACTTTGACTGGAAGTAAAACACATTGCTTCAAATGTCACCCCTCCCTGTGATGCTTACGTTGATTTCAGATCTTAGTGTTCGTTTTTAATGGGAATGTGGATCTTTCAGATCAATTTGTGAAGTACCTATGATCTCGTTCCACATTTTATTGCGTGCCATGCAATGCAGGGAACTGGTCTTGGTCTTGATGCGGTCTCGCCCTCCCTCGGTCTTGGTCTCGACTGCTCTCAGCCCCTAAAAGTCTTGGTCTTGTCTCAGTCTCGATAAACTCTGGTCTTGGTCTTGACTACAACACTAGCAGGTACACAATAGATACGTAACAGAGATGCTGGGCATTAGACAAATGCTCTTCAATGTTCATCATAGAAGCCCCTATTATCTCTGTATTCACTGTCCTACAAAGGCAGAGAGAAATAACTTACAGAAGCAATAAATTAGAGGGCTGGCAAACTGCGTTACTAACAGAAGCTATATATCTTAATTTGTACATTTTAGGCTGATTATTTTACCCCTAAAAATCAATGCCATAGGACCTACATAACACCTGGAGGAAAAAAAGGAAAACAAAAAAGCAGAAGCTGCACTCTGCATTTGGAAAATGATCTTTGAGGGGAAAACGCTGTATATATCAACAGTGTATTCTTTCAGCTTTCTCTTCCTTTTAAACTACTTTAAGAAAATAAACTTTATTTTTATTATTTATAGATTATAGGAATTAAATGGATCTGTTTGCTGGGTGTCTGTACACCTATTAATATATTTATATTGAAATCAACATAATTTACTATTTTAAAACATTTAAAATATGTGGTTTAAAGGTAGTTTTCCTAAGAAAAGATGGAAGTTACTGAGACCTGCTGAGATAGTTACCTAAGCCTATCGCCACCTGTTAAATCTCTCTGTATTCGCAGTGTAACAAAGTTTTTACTGCCTGTGGCGACATTCCTGTGCTGGTGAACAGGTAACGGTGTTTTATGCCAACCAGCAATGATTGGTATGCCAGAGCTCAAGGGGGTGCGACCATGGACAAACAAACTGTCATGTTCTCACGCTTTGTCTTTGCAAGTACCCATAATAGCATTACTTACCTAATAACTGTTACTAATAAAAGTGGTGTTGTGTCTAGCAGACACACACTGACTCACTCACAGCCCTCTGATGTCTGATGCCTTGTCTTTGTAGTAAAATATTCTCACCTTCAAAACGCCAACAGTTGTCAGACTGCCAACAACTATAGCTTTTTAGCAGCTTATGGGCAAATATTAAATAGAACGTCCTATTTGAAAAGTACGTCCAAAACAAACACAGAGACAAAAGGAATGTATTGAAAACGCATAGCATACTCCTCTTCAGTGTAGATTTCAGTTCATTCTGATTCACACGCAGTCTGTCCTGGTGTCCTCCCATTAGAAAGTTTCCTTCTACTTCCTAACAGTTTAAAATGGGTTTGGTTTCTACACCCAGGAGTGGACAGTTTCAGTGAAATGTTTTGAACGATCTGGTCAGTGTTCCTTCTCTCTTAATTCACATCTGTGTGTTTACACTGAGATTATAACTGTCTACCTCTTGCTCTTAAAAATCTATCAGGGAGCTACAGTGTCATGGAGGAGATTTAAACACAGGAGTGCACTGTTGTAATGTCTACTGTTCAGAGTAATTAGGTCAGACACGGTGCTGATCAGGTAACGTGTGTGCTGTAGGAATGCAGATTAAAATGAACACAGCCTTGCATCAGTTTTTATGATGTAAGCAGTGTCAGTCCGCCTGTGACAGGCTGTGGGTTTAACGCTTTATCACCACTTGCTCATACGCTCCACCACCAACCCTGGGATGAAGGAAAAAAAAACAGTAGCAACCCAATTAATATTTGGTTCATATATTGAACAGTAGAGCTGACAATTCATATTATATTACTATTTAAATACTACAGTTTTAACACATAAAAATGATCATGCATATGGAAGCCCAGTATTATGTGAAATTATGTTTTTACCTATCACTAGGACCTGCAGTGGGTACAAGGCTGTGCCGCCAAATCTACCGTGCCCCATGGCAGGTGAGGACATTCTCTAGCCCTGACCTAACTTCCCTTTTTGTACTCTCACCACAGCAAAGAGCAGATACTCTGCGGCTTGACTCTGCCAGACATCTATATTGTATCTGTTCAGGTTAAACTACAGTGGCTGGCCCAACTGGCTTGATAGGCAACTTCATCTGAATGTCATAACCCATTCAGATGTCCAGCCACCATCACCCTTAACTAGTTCCACTAGTCTTACCAATAACCATTAATTGGCAACCTCTCTGGTATGAGAGATAAATTATGTCCCTAGACCTGTTTTACAAAGGAAAGAACATGGTATCAAAATTAATTTGTGTGCGAGAATAAGAGTTTGGTGATGTTTTAATTTAGATGGACTTGCATTGAAGCTCACACTGAGCACATGCTATGTGTTTTTTCAAAATTAGAAATTTCTACATAAAGAGTAGATAACAAGACAAGAGTCTACACCCATGCTAGCAGCTCTGAGGTTGTACTTTGGCTCAGAAGAGCATGTTAACATGCTCACAACCATGACCATGTTAAAGGTGGGGTATGCGATTCTGATCCAATACACGTATTTCTTTCACATTCAGTGAACATCTCCTCACAGTCTGCTAGCTGTCTGCTGTGTGTACGCTGAAAAAACAAATCCAGTTTTTTTCACAAAGACATGCTGTTGCTGTGATGTTAGCTGTAGTAGAGATCTGGGACCATCTCGTTCTCTCTCGAAGTTAGCAACAGTTTGCTATCCCAAAACTCAGCTAACGTTACTTGCTCTGTTGTTGTTCACTCTGTATCTTGGAATTTGTCATGGTATTGGATTTCTCCAGAATCGCATACCTTGCCTTTCACCATCTTAGCATTTCCATCCAAAAGTTGTTGACGTGTCAGTCTGAACCAAAGTGGTGGTCAGACCAACCATCCATTTTCCTAGACAGCAGTTATTGTGTACTCTTAATCCACATAAAGTAGGAATCAGCCAGTAGTGGTTGTCCCTTTTGACAAGAGACTTGCACAACCAACTCCACCCTCTCCATCTACTTTGAAGAACGAATCATTTGATATGACGTCAGTGAATATCCTACCTGGTGGGAAGGTGATGGCTTCCAAGGGCTGTGCTTCCCCCAGGACCAACAAACAAACGCAAGCCTTCCTCTGAAACAGACACAGTTGCGGTAACATTTGGACATCCTACTGTATAATTCTTGTCATGAGGAGCAGCCAGTTGCTAGGCAATCTAAAAATAATCATGTATTGACAGCAGCTTTCTTTTCCTAGCTTTGAGCTGGATGAGACCTTGGAAAGAAAAACAATGCCCTACTCCTCAGAGTACACAGACTGACTTGACTTGTGAGGTAACACACAATACTGTAAAGTGAGTTACTGTTATGCAAAGTAGTTGTATATTGAAGTTTAGATAAGTTGGTCAGAAAATGAGTTGGCAATAATTTTGATAATCAATTCCTGCTTCCTAAATGTGAACATTTCCAGGTTTTTTTCTTTTATATCATCGTAAATTGAAAACGTTGAACTATTGAGCCAAAACAAGGAATTTGATAATCTCACTGTGGGAAATTGGATGGGCATTTTTACTAATTTTGCATATTTTATAGACAATACTTTAATCAAGAAAATAATCAGCAAAAGCAATAATGAAAATGATCATAAGATGTAGCCTTTGTTCATTTTGTTTTGTATAAAACAGAGAAGCAGCTAATCCTCACATAACGAGCTGGAACCAGCAAATGTTTGTTTTGTAAAACAAATTTATCAAAATTGTCCTGTCAATAAAGTAATTCATTGATTTTTGCTGTAAAGTACGAGAATAAGGTTGCTTTTAGTAACTTTAACCTTTACTTTTCGTGACAAAACAAGATGGAGAAAATCTGCCTAGAACTTGCACAACAATGACACCTGAAAGAATAAAACCTGCAGATATGGCAATTCTAAAAAGACCTCTGTTCGTGTGGCCTACCTTCAGCACTGGAGTCTAGTAGGCTGGGTGTGAAGTCTTGACTCTGGAGAATCTTTTCCACAACATCATCAGCATCCACACGTGTGTCGTCCATTCTCTTTAGCTGAGACTCCATGGAGTCCTGCTTCACTGGGTGTCTGAGTGGAGGATATGGAGAGTCATTTTGTGTCTAACCACTAATGGCTAATGCTGTTTGTTTCTCATACTGAATCTACATTTCATTTAGTGCTAAGCAGGGATGTGGTCAACCAGAGAGCCAAGGGATTCAATCTAAGCAGCTCAAAATGATTCAGCTGCTTTTCAACCGGTTTTTAGTCGTAGCAGCGACACACTTGCCAGTGCTACTTACTGCAGAAGACAGTTGTACTACTGCAAATGTCTGTGGCTAAGAGGCCTTTCATTTTCTTATTCTTTTGTACCACTGCCTCTTGCTCCATACTGCTTGCTGAAAAGCTTTCTTTTTTACCAGACTTATCTTGCCACTAAGATTAGAAACTATGATCAGCTTGGCAGTTGGACATCATAATGTTTGTGCATATTATTTGAGCAGCCTTCTGACAAAAGCTAGGATGTTTAAAGAAACAGTTTAACATTTTGGGAAATATGTTTAGTCACTTTCTTGCCAAGAGTTGAGATGAGGAAATGAATACCTCTCATCTGTAGGTATATATGAAGGTACAGCCTGCAGCTGTTTAGCTTAGTGAAAGACTAGAACGGGGGTAACAGCTAGCCTGTTTTAAGCTGTTTCATTAGTTGTTCAACATGCCCCTGTTGACTTCCTTTCGGCACTTGCACTCTGGAATCCCTGCTGCCAAGATAATTGTCATTTCACAAGTAAAAACTATGTGAAATCGACCCTTCGAGGGTGACGAGTCAAGATAAATGGTCAGCGCTGCAGATTAACCACTGTGCATTGCAGTTTCTCATCATTTCCGCTATGATGCCAATAAGCTATGTATTTATTCCCAATATTGTAGGCTACAGATTGTTTATTTTCTAAGCTCAGAAGAGACATTTCTGAAATTGCAAGCCTACTTACCAAATGTCAATATAATAACAATAACAACAATATAACAATAATCTGTAGGAAGTACCGTTGCCTCATTTAAAGGCATCATTTAAATCCACTGCCCACTTTCCCTCTGCTCTCAAAGTGTTTTCCATGTCACGTACACTGTGGCGGTATATAAAGGGCTGAAAAGTGGAACAACTAATGAAACACAGCATTAATTTGAAGGTAACAAAATCTTCCAACATGTAATTTATTTAATCTTTACAAAGAAAAAAAGTGTAATAAAGATGACACCTTGTGGTTTTATGGGGGGATATGAGCTATCCTATTTCTTGGTGTGTAGTAACTTCCTGGAGTACTGTCACTGTGAGGTTGCCAGGCAGCCAGTGGTGACTCAAGCTGCAAGTTGTAGCTTAATAATTATATGTACAGATATGTGAGTGGGTTTGGTTTCCTCATCTAACTTGGCAAGAAAGCAAAAAAGCTAATTTCCCAAAAGTTGAATGATTCATTCAAAAACCTGAAAATCAATATGTAGATAAGTACAACATGCTACATTGTCTGATAATACAGATGTGAGAACAATATGACTGAATGCTGGTCTTCAAAGACGTTTGCCAAATATAAAGTGCACCTTAGGCTATAAAAGTACTTAAAAACCACAAGTCTTTATTTGAAAAGCGTGATTCATGGCTGGACATTTTTAGATACCACAAACAGAATAACACTTTTATAAATACTAAGAGACCCTACTGTGACCACATAATGAAACCACAGATACTCTTCCGCAGTTCTGCCTCATAGCATTTTACTGCATGACAGCTGCTTCCTGAAATGTCACACATGTCTCAGGTGTAATTAACTTCCGTAAAACAACTTACTGCTACTATATTTTGTACTCACGACCTACAATAAACATGTTTGACTTGCTGAATGCTTTCCCTTTGTGACGATGAAGCCCGTATGTACTTTCATAAATTTCTAAAGCTCCTTACTTGCCAAATAAATTAGGACTCACCTGTTGAGTCGTTCACAGGATGAGGCGCTCCGTACTGGTGTACCCGCTGGGTTGCTAGTGGTGGCGGTGGGAACTGGGTGTTCAGGTAGAGCAGGACGGGGTCTGGACTCTCTTTCCCGGTCCTCACAAGGCTCTGGGATGCTGCCGATACCCGTTGAGGCACTGCCCACTGAATGGTTTCTCCGGTGGCTGAACTCTGACATGCTAGAGGAGCGGGAGTGACCTGTGCTGTAGCCTGAGAAAGATGGGCAAAGATTTCAGTAAATTGTTATTTACTTTCGTTAATAGTGTGGGAGGTCAATTGCAACACAATGGCCATAACTATGGACAAAACTGAATTCAGTGTAGTTAAAGTGAATGGTGTGTTGTGACTAAACTTACAACAAAACAAACCTCAAATGTCTCAAACTGTAAAAATGCAGGAGGTATGTAAGAAATTAGCAATAAGGGATGTGCTTTTTCTGGATTAATCTGGAATCTGGAATTCGGAACTGCACAAAGTACATAAATGCACAGCTGAGATGATGGGTCTTCGGCTAGGCACAACCATATTTTGACACACTGTAAAGCTCATAGTTTGGGATATATATGCAGACAGGGGTTGTGCCTTCACATTTGCATATCATTAGACTAGACTATTAGCCTTGGAGGAGGACTACGCTCTCTGAGTGCCCTTCTTGTTTAGAGTTGTGTTACCTGCCATAGGGTTGGGCCATGTCTACAATGAAACATCGGGTGGGGCGCTGGATTGTGTGTGTGTGTGTGTGTGTGTGTCTTGTGTGTGTGTCTTGTGTAGCAGTCGTCTTATGTGCATGTGTTCATACGCAGCCCAACCCTAACATGCCACCTGGTGAAATAAGTCTAATAATCACACTCTTTTAGCTCTGTTTCAGTTCCTTTACTAACTCCTGAGGGAACTGGCTCTTTTAATTGCTCCTAGTTGTCTCCTATGTTCACCTGCTCACTTTGACTCTCTGATGTTTGTTTTGTAGCCTTTTCACAAAAAAAACAGCTGCTTGCTTCTGCTGAAAATGACACTATGAGAGCAGTGAGAGGAAACCAAAATAATTAAGGTACAGCCGGGCAGTTAAACAATGAGCTGAAAGGCTTCATAAAACTGAGAGGAGCTGCAAATTGAGGTAAACACATCCACATTGTCACATTGTTATTTTAGAAATATTGATTATAGCTGGTTGAAATAAAAAGTTTTAGAGTTACCTTAGGGGTGACATTTTCAGATTAAATGTATCATACCTTCCCTCTCTAAAAGTCAAGTAAAAAATTGATCTTTGACATGCAGCTCATTATATTTTGCTATCTCTGCTACACTGCCCCAATGGGCTACTGTGGTCCACTAATAAAAGGGTTGGCGGTTCGATCCCCAGCTCATTATGTCTACATGCTGGTGTGTGTGTATATAAATGGGCAAATAAGAGGTAAATTGTAAAGCACTTTCCATAAAAGTGCTATATGCATCATGTACCATTTTGCAATTTCACTAGGTTAATGCAACTGACTTAATGTTAAGTAACTGTATGCCCTGAGAGATCCTGCAAGAGTATTGTAGCATTCCAGTGATCACAACCACCTGCTACTGACATACATTCATAATATTACACACAGTAATAGCACCAGTGCTCTCATCTGCATTTAAATATTAATGACAGAGGATCAATTTGTTATATGCACATAAAAGTCCATTAAATGCTTTACCAATGGAAGAAAAGTGTAACAGAAAATAAAAATGTACTACCTAACATCTGAAGTAAAACATTAATTCATAAGTATTGATTTAATGTTAATATGAGGCATTATACAGTATTAGTTGTTTTGTTTTAAACAAAACATGTTTTGCTGTGATGTCGAGCAGATTTCCAACTTGCAGTGTGTTAAAAGATTTAACAGTTCAGTAGAGTTGCAATGACACCCACACACTCGCTGTTCATGTCTGCAGGAAACCATTTCAAGCAAGAGACATCTCAAAGCATCAGTTCACTACAGCCATGGAAGAGCAAACTTCCCACACAAGAGTACAAGGTTCAAATCAATCTATGAAGGGTTACACGTGGCAGGAAATACATTTTCAGATTCAAAATTAGAGGGCCATTAGAGCTATACTCAGAGCATCTCTGTACTTCCTCTGATCTTTTATTACAGTCATCTGATCTGCCTGTAATGGAAATTAGAGCCTCAGGTTTGAACTGCTCTGGTGGAGTGTCACTGGAAAATCATTTTATCACTTCCCTCCTCCTTAGTCAAAAGCTTTTTTCAGTTTGACCTTACACACATTTTCTCCAGTAAAAAAAAAAATTTAGGAGAGCAAAAGATTGGTGTTATGTAGTTTGATGCTGGTAACAACTACTTTTAATTCTGTCACGCACCAGCACATTATATTATCTGCAAAATGGTCTGTATGTTTGATCCATATCTGGTCAACAACAGTAAATCAGGAAAAAACATTCTTAAATGTGGGGTGCCCCTACCTGAGAGTTTGGACTGTTGGCTGGCGTAGCTGGATGTTCGGGAGTGGCCGCAGCCCCCAATCTCATCGGAAACAACAGGACACTTCCCTTCTCGACTCTCTGCTACATTAGAAAAAAAGACAAGAGTCTGCTCTATTGCAAAAAAACTGTTATCATTTAAGTAAAATATGTACAGCTTTTATTATGCCTTTCTTATTGTCAAAAAAAACTGGTGCCAAACAAGAACAATACCTGTTGAGGGCCACGCCATGTACTTACTTAATACCATGGCTCATTCTCAGCTCAACACACCAGAGTGGTATAGATAGTGTTTTTGTGGATGAAAGCAGAAATAGCTGTACAAAGTGACTGAGCGTGTCTGAAGTGATACATTTGTGGTTGTTTGTATTCTGTAACTCAGCAACAAACCTGACAACACAGTAAACATGCATTACACATTTCACCATACTGTTCTCTTTTTTACAGATTAGACATACATACCTAGAAATTTCTGTTTTCAGATACTATATGGCCCCAGTTTGCATGAGTGAGATCTGGTCTACTATTGGACAGACAAGTTTCGACTGAGACCACAAACCCAGTTTCTATCTTGTTATACGTAGACTAACTTGGTGATCTATATTCTTTATAACCTGTGTTATTTGAGTTTTGAGTTGCAGCAGACAACAGAGAAAACGGAGAAAAACCCACTGCCTCCCAAACACCATAGGTTCACCTTCGCTGGGTTAATAAATGAGTGACCACAGTTGGCAACTGCTTGGTTTGAAGCAAAAATAAACAGATTAAGAAAAATGTGGAATCACAGGGAAATCCTTATTCTTTTGACACTTAACCCCTAGTTGCTCCAGGGTCGTGCGACCTCTGACGTATATAGCAATTGTAAATCGCCCTGGATAAAAAGTTCAGCTAAAATTAATAAATGTAATGTAATGAAATCAGGGGATGATATCACTGATGTATATCAATGTATACTTATATCCTTAGAGTGTTTTACAGACAGGGATAATAGCAGCACTTTAAAAGTTTAGGGCACGAACAGCATCTGGGTAGGTGCTGATGCAGAACCTAGTTGCTCTGGTTCTGATACTTTTCAGTCTTTTAAAAGAAGAGAGATTAGATTAAAAAGGTGATTAGAAGATTAAGAGGAGTCCCTGTTTTCATAGTCTTAATGGTATAGATTTCAGCAAGGGAAGGTAGCTCCTGGCCTATGATTTTTGATGCAGTGTGTACTATTTTCTGCATACGTTTCCTATCCTGTATTGAGCTGTTTCATTCTGCACAGTTATTCCAAAGGTGAGGAAGCTCTCAACCCTAGCACAGTAAAATTGCATTATATCTTCTCAATAATATTACAATATTTTGCCCACGATAACAACAGTATGAGAGCTCAGGTGGTTCTGCAATGTAAAATAAATATTCTGTAATACAAATATATGTGTGACTCAAGAGGAAAATATAACCCCCCACAATTTTGACAGCTGAGATAGAAACGATATGTATAATTGTGTCTAAAGTTTGAGCCTTTTAAGAAACACGTGCGGCAACATGAGCGAGTGTGTCACCATTTTAATGTCAAGAAGCCAAACTGGCAAAAGGCTGACCTGCCAGAAAGCAGAACAGTTCACAGTTCAAATATCTGCGGGAAAGGAAGGAAAGGCCTCTGCCTCAGCAACATAAGAGAAAACATTTCAAAAGATATTAACCCTGAGATGCACTGAGGGCCATAAATTACCCAGATACTCCCCTCCTCAAAATATGGTGGTGGTGTAATGTAATTTCTGTTTTTGCTTTTCCCAAGTGAAAAGAAAGCCAGATCAGTAAAACTGACCAAAAAGTTGTATATATAGTTTATATATAGTAAATAGTTTATTTTTATGTAAATAAACCATCATGCAAAGATCACGCCCAGAAACAGCTAGTCTGAATGATATTTTTTCTTAGTCACATTAAGTGCAAAACGCAAAATCTATTGATTGCAATTCTAATAAAGTTATTTTTTACCAACTTATGTAACGTGTAGATTCCAGTGACCTAGGCATCTAAGGGTTAACAAAATATCTCAGTAGATTATTTTTCCCACTCCAACTTGTCTTGGACGATAAGCATGCATCAATATATAATAACAAAACTCCATCTATATAATAATACACCATAATAACCAAACCTCCCACTGATACTGCTCACACACATGACGCATACCTGTACATACATGGCAAACATGCACAGCCAAGACATGATGCTGCTGATGGGAAAGAGCATCGTCTCCAGACGACAAAAACACAAGTGGTGTGCACATGCAATACACAACCCCCCTAGACATACTTGCACGGAGTCCTATTTTTAACCATCAAGAGCCTACAGGGTCAGAGCAGATTGTAGCAAATGTAAAAGAGAACTACTTTAAATTATACATGAAAGAGCTGCACTACACAAGCATTCAACACTGCAATGTGTTCACATTAGGACACATAACGGGAGAGTGAGCTGGATGAAACGTCAGTTAAATGTAGCAGAAAGGGGCAGCTGGAAGACGAATATTTCATGGTGCTGGATAGGAGATAAATAGTTATATATTATATATAAGTGTGAGTGCATCATGCTGTAGAAAGATGGGTGCACACACACAAACAAGATGAATTCTGCAGTTTAATTAATGAACTTGAGGTTAATTTCCATAAAGTTGAAATGACTGCTTCTATTTTTCAATATGACAGTGCAGCATGGTAAAATTCATGCTTGTCTTGATGTGTTGGAGGTTGGACTTAAACAACCAGCCCAATGTGCTCAAAACGTGCAAGAAAATTGGTCTGCACTTTACTGTAGATGTAAATTGCTAAACTTGGTGGCAAATAAGGCGTTCCCTCTTGTAACTGTTTCACAAAAAAAGCCTTTGTCATTTACATGTGTCAGACTTTTAAGGCTATGGTCGGTTTGTGTTAGCAGCAAGGCCTAGGTGTGGTTTCAAAGTTGGTAGGCAGGTAAATGAGACGTTATGCTTACATTTGGTGATTACTTTACTACTGTAAATATAACACAGCACTCTAGCATCAAAAGGTACCACTTGCAATAAATGATGCCGTCCCCTAATCTGAAACTGGACAGTAAACTTTTTTTACTTACTCACTCTAATATACTCTAAATCTTTCGTTTTGTTTCATTGTTGGTTAGATCTGTTGGCTACTTAGCTACAACAGCAAGTGCTGAGGTGATGTTAAGCAAGTCTACTCAAGTGCAGCGAGCTGTGATATAATTTAAATGTAATGTTGCAAAAGATAATGTTGAATAAATGTAAGAAGATGAACATAAAAGTGGAACAAAACTCCAAAACTAACAGTGGCTCCGTACACAATGGGATGGCTAAAGTGTGCTCTATCGGGTGCCTGTAAATGTTTAGAAAAGCCAATGGGATTACTAAGCAGAGCAGAGGAGTGTAATGTGGTGTGATTGGTCTCACCAGAACAGCCTTTTTGTGAATCCCCTCCCCTCCTCTCCTCCAGCAGGCTTTCTCCATCACCCTGGATCCCGATCACTGTGGCTGTGGAGGGAGGCCTGATGACAGAACAAATGCAAAGCAAGGTGAAGACAGGGAGAAATGGGGGAAGAGAGGATTAAAAAATAAAAGATTAATCAAGGGAAAGACCATAAAGTTAAGTTATAAACTATTACATACATTGAGATTAGCATTTAGCCAAGAGTAAAAGTGGATCTACTGTAGATACTTTGTTTTTAAATACATGCTGAAATAAAAGAAGATGCAGCTTTTGGCATAAACATAAAGTCTACAGAATATTTTTTAGGTCAAATTTTGCCCTCGGGTAAAGCAAAATTTCTCTCTCCGTAGAGACAAATACTTAAACTGAAAAGTATATTTCTAATAGAAGAAGTAGTACAACAACTTATAGTATTATACTTGGAAGATGAAATGTGTGTGAAGATTCTCTCAGTCATTGATACTTAAACTCAAGTAGAATTCAAGTAGCTTCAATAAAGTCCCGTTGCCCTTTATTAAACCCTTGGATGCAGGATGAAATGAATCAGTGCTTTTGACATGTGAAAATCTGATTATTTAGTCTTGCGTAATTCTGTATCGTTTGGTTCCCAAGAAACTTTCCCAGCACAACACTGACAGACATCAGTACCACACCTACAGCAGCATTCTGGGAACAGCTCCCAAACAAATTCAGTCAGCAGGAGATTTGATGTCATAACTTTATCTTTATCTGATAGAGGTAGATGCAAACAGGAAATGTGGGGAGAGAGAGAGAGAGGTGTATGACATGCAACAAAAGGTCCCCCGGCCAGGAATCAAATGTGCACCTTATGTGGTTTGCTCCTTAACCATTAAGCTCCATGGGTGCTCCATACAGCACAAGAATAAGAACAGTTTAATTCTCATGCTCTTTTAGTCCAAAAACATATGCAATTAAATAGTTTTCCAATCCACTTCAAAACATATAGTTAAGAATCTCAAATGACTGAACTGTAAGTCAGCTGACACCATCCCTGACTGATTAAACAGTATGAACAAAACAAAACAGATTTGGCACCATATTAAAGTATGGTGTTATATTAAATTGTTAATATATTAATTTAACTTACGTTTTAAAACAGGGATCCCCTGACATGAGCTGTGTACTGATGATGACCTACGAAAAGAAAAAGAGACCTGTTGGTTGTTTCAGGTTTGACATTCTTGGTTTAAAGAAAGAAAAAGAAAGGAAAGGTGTTTTGGTTCAAGCACAATTGTACTTTAAAATAATCAAATATGTGTCACTGGAGAACTGTAGATTAACCAACTGATCTTAAAAAGCCATGTGGAATCAGCACTCCCTGATTAACTCAAATTGTTAAGTGACATCTTCATTAGTTTTGTCTGCTTTGTTCATTAGTTTTGCCTTAAATAAGGGACTGCTATAATTCATCATGAAATAAAGCAGAAAATGGCTGTAGTAAAGCCTGGTGGTATGTTTGGCTACAATCTAATTGCTACCAGCGAACCTAGCCATTTATGCAAAAAAATTAAAAATAAAATAAATCATTGTATTCAGAACACTAAGTTTAAAGCTGTGAAATCAGACAGCTGTGGATATTTTACCGTAGCTTCAATGTTACCTTGAGAATGGAGTTATCCTGGCGAGTATTTTTGGTATCGTAGCCTTCCAGCAGACATCTGCGGGTTGTATTCCCTGAGCCGGCAAACTCTGCTAAATTCAGATCTGCAAAACCAAGCTGAAGGAGAAAGAATGACACTGGGTGAACTTTGGTTTCTCTCAGGAGACGTTTGGCCCAGTCAGCACTGTGACAATCTCTGGTTGTAAAATGACAGAGGTCAGGAAATTAGAAAAACTTGACAGTATTAACTCAACTTACAACTTCAAAGACAAGCTGTTAATCTTCTGAAATTTTAATATTTAAGGGGGGAAAAGCTATCATCAATTGTATAAGGTCCACAAGAAGAAGTTAAGTAAGCTGAGTAAATAACTTCTTTCAAACAGTGAAAGCGAGAACACATGACATAATGAGCCAGCCTGCAGGCAGTTAAGGCCATCTGTTTGCTTCAGGCTCACAGCACAATCTACATAAATATGGCTGATTGCTGTACATCTAGGTGACCTGGAGGTTGGGTAGGGGATGGGGGTTGGATAATATAAGTACATGAGGAATTACCTTTGCATATGTCTTCCCACCCTTCAGCTCCTAGAGAAGAGAAGCATTAACATTTAAATTAAAACGTTACTCAAAAAAATTTCAAATCCACAAGTCATGCTTCATTTAAATATGAATGAGTTAATGAGAAAATATTTTTTAAAAGTTGCTGAATTTAAGACTATTCATTTACTAATTAATGTAACACTATAGACAACACTATAATTTGTTGGGTCCAAACTGTAGCAAAAGGCAACAACAAAGATTTTTCTGGGCCTTGGCATGCTTAGTGTCCTAAAACAAAGAGGGCAGGGCACACCAGAAATAGCCTGCAGATACAATGTGCATACACAAGATGCATTTGCACCAGAAAGGTTTATTCATATTCTGCTTTTATCCCTTTTTACCCTTGAAAACTATGTAACATGACATGGTGAAACAACTAGAGCACAGAGCGCACTTGTATTAAAGGTTAAAGGATAGCAAAAGGATGAGGGGCAAAGGAGTTCACAGTGATGAGGCTGTTTTCTTCAGAATGCTGTGCTTGCTGGCTGATGTTTTAGAGTTCACATTTCACTCTCAAGTTTCAATTTGCCACATAAAAGTCCATGCAACCAATACCAGAATTTCACCCAGGTACAGCCATTCTGTTAGCAAGGATGAGATATTCCTGTTTACAGGAGCCTTGTTTTTTACACTGAAAAGAACAATAGCCTCTATTTTTGCATAAAACCCACACCTAAACCTTATATGTTCACATGCAAAGCATCAGCTTATAGATCAACAACACTATATACGAATATTTATAATGTCTGAAATCTGTAGCTCGGCAGCCACATAGTGTACCTTTCTGACAGACACACGACACACACATGGGTCCAGTACACCTGTCCCTGCATTGGCACTCATCTTGCAGGGGAAAGAGAACCGTTTCCTCCATCGAACACAGTTGGCCTGCACTGGCTCTCTGTAAGGGGAAACCACAAAGACTATCTTTAAACATTGTATAGGTTTACATATCATAGATTTTTTGTGGACAGGCTGCATGTTAGCTTCATTACATTACATTTATTCATTTAGCTGACGCTTTTATCCAAAGCGATTTACAACTGCTATACATGCCAGAGGTCGCTTATGTAGCTCAAATGTCTCTCTGCTCAACTGAAAAGCTGGTTCATTTCCTTTTGCGGTTTGGATAACTCACATTATAAACCGTGATGAACTGTCTGGCTCCGTGCCAGAATCATAATGCATCATACACTATACCTGGGAAATAATGTTTATTACAATAAAAAAAAAAAAAAACACTCAGATATCAAACCTCAAAAGCTGGAATCAAATATACAGTTTAGTATTTCATACATTGTCACATTATTAACAAACAAAAAAACGGTGTTCGGTAAGGTGACTTTAAACTAAGATGTATTTAAGCACCACTGATTTCCCGCCTTGTCACTTGTGTTTTTGCAGCCCTGATCACATCCCTGAACTGTGGAAGCACAACTTCATTTCATTAATTTTTATATCACTATTACGTAACAATGAAAACCACTTAGGTCAAATGACTAATGGAGTAACGATGCTCACATCTCTACCCTGCTCAAGGCCACTGCTTCAAGTTGCCAATACAAGCTTATGTTCTTAGCCTCAGATTTTTTCTGGCCACTTAATAAACACACTGATTAATTACAGTCCTGTTTTCCACCAAAGATTACGGCAGCAAGCGTAGCCCATTTTGGCACGAGAGTAACAGAGAAACACATGGACACACATTCTCGGCTAACAACTACAGGTTAAAATGAGAGTGAGGTGTAGCCTACTCTCAGTGGAAGGATGAGATGAATTGAAAGAGAAAAGAGCGTGTATGCGTGGGCAGCATTAAGATACCCCAGATGGCCTCCCTTTCACTGCCATCCTCTCCTCTCCCACTCACCTAACCAACTCCCTTCTGTTAAGACAGCCCTCACGCAATTCATTTCAATCGACTCTGCCGGATTTACATGCAAGCTGAGACGATGGTATTCATCTCTAATACAGCACAAATTACAATGATGCAACAAGTAAAAAATCGGACAAGAGTTTGCATCTGTAATAGTGACAAAAAGAGGCAAAGACTGAGGGATACAGATAGAGATGTAGTGCGAGGTGTGTTGATGACACAAGACTTAAACCTATTAACAGTGTGTGCAGATCCCTGGTAAGACGGTTAAGAGTGAAAATACAGGCCTGTGTTGTGCACTGCATCCCTGCCTCACTATAAATGAAAAGCAGCAGATGCGTGACCAATGTTTCACAAATGCTGACTTCATCCTGGGATCATTACAGAGGGAACTCCCAGCCAGCTGGACACTGCATGCCCTATAACTCACAGCACTTCTCAGAGCAGCAAAATACTATTAGTGAGCTTGAGTAAGTTTGGTTTAAAGCACAAGTGGAGGTCGTCTCTCTCATCTTTATACATGGGTCAGATATCTTATTAAACTACAGCTGCTCGCCTTTTAAAAGGCAGCTGCGGTCAGAGTTCGGGCATAAACTCTCTCACAAACACATTGTTACACAGAAAAAACAAATCATTTTTGATACAAATACAAATTTGGTGCAGTGTCTTCAAATGTCTCGCAGCAAAGAAAAAATCCAGTCTGAATTTGTTCATAAAATGTTATACTTATACATATACATACAAAAAAGCAAAATCATATAACAAGAAAAACTTGTTTTGAACAGAAACAATGGCGCAGTGATGACAAACCACACCAAAGGAAAAGAAAGGCTCATAAAACAACAGTCCTCACTTCCCTTACACTCACAGTTGGGATGGCTTAAAAGAGTATCAGAGGAAAACTAGTGTGTGCGTCTAAAAAAAAATCAAATTGCTGCAGTAAAATGTGATTTAATGACACAAACTCGTCACTACAAATTAGCAAAGCTAAAACATTTCAGAGCCAGAACAGGATGTTTTGATTATAACCATATAACTTTCCTTGACTGGATTATAGTGAAGAACGTTTTCCAGTGTTTCACTCTCATTTAGCTGCAGTGACTGCTCACATGTGAAACAACTGTAGCTGTATTAAAATGGCCTTAATGCCATGACACATCCTGATTCACAAAGTCCAAGATACTGTGCCTTCCTATTTAGCTGGTTTATAATAGCTACGTACTGTAAAGAAAGGGTTTGTTATATAATCAGGGTGAAGCCATCTAATCTCTACAGCCTTACTCCAAAACAAATGCTCTTCCCGTAGTCCAATGATAGAAGGCAGTTTGTGAGGGAAAATCCAAACCCGGTTACAGAGGAGAGGACTGGTTTTGCTTGTCTCAACTGGACAGATATAATAGCATTATCATGACACTGCTGTGGACCACAGGGTGACTCTGGATAATAGGTACAGAGTAATTTCCTTTCATGGCCAATTATTTGGTGTATCATCCTTTTCATTTTAACAACCATTTCACTGTAAATATGAACCATATTTTGTGAAGTACCACATACTTGTCACCTGACAAATATTATCACTTTGTCCATTCAGCTTGACAGAACAATATTACCAACTAGAGCTGAAGATATCAATTTGTCTATTGGCAGAAATTGATGAAACAATCAGCAATAATTACAAAAATGCACTGGTTCCATCTTCTGCTCAGATTCCAAATGTGAATATTTACTGGTTTTCTTCTATGATTATAAATATCTTTGGGTTTGGGACCATAGCTGCTAACAATTAGATGATTAATTGATTTGAGAAAACAAAACGGCAACTATTTTGATAACCGAGTAACTTATGAGTGATTTTTCAAGCCAAGCATTACCTTGCAGGGATTAGGCTGCTTTCTTTGGCCTTTAGACTGTTGGATGGGCAAAACAAGCAATATGACGAAAAATATTTGATTTGAGGATTTAAATTCTGTTCATTTAAATGCTTTTCACTTCGTAGTCTTAAAAAGTCATAAAAGACACTTTAACACTGTAACTTGCGCATGAAATCCCCAAAGAGGTTTTGGAGAAGATGACTTGTCTTTTCTTGTCTGAACTTGACAACATTATCATGACACTGAGGTGGACCACAGGTTTCCTGTCAAGCTACTGGGCTTCCACTATCTCAGTTTCCTTTTAAAAAAAAAACATATAGTGAAGGCAACAAATGTACAGTTTCAGATGACCTAGTAGGATAGAAACATGGTGGAATACTCTTCCCATTTATTAACACATGGAAATATTTTAAACTCTGAGACAGAAATGATTTCGGACAGCATTATCCTACTAAATGTGACTGTCAAGGGTTTACAACTATGCAATGTGCTTGCATTTGCCTGATCACTATTAATAACAGGTTGACTAAGCAATCAGACACCTTTCACCTACTTCAATGATAACTTTAAGACCAAACAGGAACAAAACACAACCCATGACATTAGTAGCTTTGTTAATTAAGCAGCAATAGATAGGAGAGTCGTTTTCAGCTTTATGGCAGTTATGTGACAAGTCAGCTGGTTACACATAGCACAGTAATCAATTCCCCAGCCAGCGAGGATGTTAGCCTGCGAAATGCACCCAGCCTTAAACAAGAAGAACATGCAAACTAATGAATGGATACGTTTCGTTTATAATTTGTATTAATTAGTTAAAATAGCTTTGACTAGCAGGTAACGTTACACGTGAACAACCAAAACACCGTTACAGCGGCAAACAACTGACAAACGTTAAGCTAGTTTCTAACGTTGGTCGTGTAGCCTGCTTAGCTCATTTAGTAACGTAGCTAACATCGTAGACGAAAGCTCCTCAGCTAGTTTAAGCTGCGAGCTAAAGAAAAGCAAGTCCTGTGAGTTTTTGTAATGGTTGTACTAAGACAATGCTCACCGAGAAGACTCTTCGGAGAACCCGCCGTCCAGTAGTCTTACTTTACAAAAGAGGACACCGTTCACAAAGGGGACTGACGAGAGCTCGTCCAGCTCAAAATCCACCTTGAACTTGAATTTCTTCTTTTTCATCATCATTAAATCCATACACAGATTCAGTACACTTGAGAAGATGCTCTAGTCTCGCTCGCCGGTGACATTACAGCCCCATTGTGTTGTAGTTACAGATTCAGTGTTGTGATGTGGGAGGATGGTGAAGCTGCTGGTGACAACATTCAGTCAAACTCACTCAAGCGATGGAGGAGAGCTACTTCCTGTTGTGGATTTTCAAAATAGAAGCATATGCTTTGATCACTATTAATCGGCCTTTTTGAAAATAAGGTTTGAAGCAGTGCAGGTTTATTCTTATCTTGAAACTCCAGTTAAAAGCCTGGTCCCAGTTACACGGGTGTCCCATTTACCAGCCTGGTATTGCTACATGTTTTGACAAATAAAAGTAAAGTTAGGTCTCAATCAGACGCATGGTCTAGTTTTTAGAGAAGTTCTTTGGATGTAGTATAAAACCTCTTAAAGCTGACTGAGTAACCCATTTGAGCTTGTTCTGAGCTGCTTAGATCGTACAAACAAATATAAATGTTAAAACTTTTGTCAATATGGACATGCTACATATAATTCGGTTTGAATCTCCACAATTCAATCATTACGTTCAATTTACTTAAACATTTCAGACTTTGTATGGTAAACAAGAGAGACGAAATAATACTTTTTTTTATTCAAGTCATATTCATACTGGTTGAAATAAACAAATTTATAGTAGTCTATTCCCATCTTTTCTGAGCAAGGGTTTTGTGGGATTAAAGGCATGTCCCATTAGACATCTGTCTCAAATATAGGCAGGGTGATTTCAGTGACTGAAGCAAATAAAAGCCCAGGCTATTAACTGTTTTACAGTAAGTTTTACTGTACTTCTATAAATGCTTATGTAAAATCAAATCAAATAGACCTCCATATTATTTTTATTTTATGTTTATTGAGCAGGTAGAATGCACACCAATAATACATTTACAAATGTATACTGTACCAGAATTAGCCAAAAAGGCTATTTTACACATGCTGTCCCTGGATAAGTGGTAATATGTCACCCATACAGACTTAGCCCAATACAATAAAAGTTGATATACTGAAAGAAAATTTAAAAAAAAACAATTCATCCTAAATTCAGTTAAAATTACATGGAAGATTAGCTCCTTCTTTTCTGTCAGGTTTATTACATTTTGACTCAACACGACTCCATCTCTTTTATTTTGATGTACGCATGGATTAAACGGATGTACAGTGATGACAGCGTTCAGCTTGATGGTAGTTCGAAGAAGCCCGCCTCCTCTCTCCGGCGCCTCCTGGCGGTCAGGCAGCACAGCAGCAGCACTCATTGGACAGATTACAGTCGCCACCTCGTGGTAAAATCTAGGCCTGCAATGGCACTTTTATTGAAACGAAATTGTTTCTTTACCTCTTTAATTTTTTGTAAAATAATCCCATCACATGTTGACTATCTATCTACTTGTTAAACTTTATTTAACACCGAACCCATATGATTATAGACGTTAGACATTCACCTATAAAGTCTATGATATTCCCATGAAAAAAATAAGCCGATGTGCAGCTCAGATTTCCAGTTGTCCAAAATGCCAACTTTAGGCTACCAAAGTGCAAGTCTTTCTAAACAGGCTGCGGGACATTCATCCACTTTCTCCTTCCCTCTCAATATTTACAGATGCACTTTGCCTATTTTCGGATTCAAAGCAATGGATCCTTTATTAAAACATCTGAGGGTTTTGCCTGGATCAGCTGTCAGATTCCTGTGGGTATGACTCACTGAAATGAATCAGACTGCGTTGGTGAGGGGACTATAGGCTGCTGCTGCTACTACTACTACACTGAGTGCGCGTGCGTGTGTGAGAGTGTTGCACCCTATGGTTACACCATGACACCACAACAAAAGATAACTACCTTTGAGAAAGCAGAAACTAAAAGCCTGGGAAATGCGCGAGAGATTAAACGGCTTGAAAGGAACTAACGTTACGATAGAAAGCGTCTTTCTCACGCCTACCGGTCTGCAATGAAGTAAAGAAATGCTCACCATGAAATTGTAATAAAGTTCGTGCAGTGTTGATCCTGCTGAAGGGTGTGTCTGTAGTGTTGGTATATGCGCAGTAAAAGAGGAGGTCTCAGGGAAGCTAAACTGAGTCTCCCCACCCTTCGGCTCAGCGCTGCCAACCTACCTCATCCGCAAGCAGTTTTCTATATCTACGATACCTTATATCACTTTTATACCGGATTCTACCGACTTTTAGAGGACTTTTCTACGACTGCACTGCGGAAATCTCTTTTAAATCACACGGGACTGTCCAGCTGCTTCAAACCAGAAGTGCCAGCCACAGGAATCGGTTTCCCTCCTTGTGTGTGTGCGTTACCACAGCAGATTAATTTCCCACTTTTTTTGGTTTTGTGTCGAGGCCAAGAGTTTCCTTTCTAACTTCAACAATGCTTCAAGTCATAAGGAAGCTGTTTTTTACGGACTGCCAGTGTGCTTCTGAAGATGCGTTGAAAATGTACGAGGAGCTGTTCGCCAAGCTGGACACCAACAAGGATGGAAAAGTGGATGTGTCCGAGCTGAAGGAAGGCCTGGCAGCTCTGGGCATCAAAACTGGGGAAGGGGCAGCTCAGGTAGAACCACGGATACAGAACACATAAAGGCCTTATAGGGAGAGAAAGTTGTCAGAAATACTTCTAGTGGGCCTACTGCATTCCTGAAGGAACTGGGCAGGCTGCTGTTCGCTTCCAAGTTAGCTACAAACATTGGGTTTGCAAAGTATTCTTGATTCTGGAAATGGTGGGAAAACAATCTCCCCACAAGGTTCATTTAGAATCTGTTCTGTAGCTTTCTGCTATAACAATATGATCTTCCATGTAAGTTTTAGCATGTCATCCTTATTACATCTCCAAGTTCACTTTCTCTGACATTGAGGATTTTCACTGAGCAATAAAACATATCCTGAGAAGTCTAATACAAAGAGGAAGGAGGGAGTTAATTATATTGTGTCTTAATTTCATGCAAATGGTAAAGAAATGAAGAATTCATTGATGGAAACTCACATTTTTTTCTCACATAATTGGAACAAGTCAAGTGGAGCATACATTTATCTTAACAATCAAATAACAGCAATATCGAGCTGGTAAAGAGATGGGTGGATGAAGAACCGGTGTAACTACTGTCTCAAAGTTCAAACTGTAGATGTAGGTGAGCTTTGCTGTGACTAAACGGAAGGTCCCACCTTTGCTCAACAAATTATCTTGCATTCCTTACATTACAACTCACATTAAAAGTCTGAGTCACGAAAAAAGGTTGAGACAGGTCTGTGTGAGTGTTGTAAAACAGGCGCCTTCAAGATCCATTTAATTATGTGATAATGTCATGATAAAGAGGTAATAAACATGCACACTGCTTTTCAAACAGCCTTATTCGGCCAGCAGTGTCTTCATTCAGCACAACAATTAAGCTCTTGTTGTCATGCTATATAAGTCATTATTTTTCTCCCCATGAAATGGATTACATCTGTCCACATGGTATGGATCGCCTCTTGACTTTTGAAGCAGTTGTGACTTTCATGTTCCGGTTTATCTACCAAGTAACTGATCTTGAATCGGCACATTTTTGTGTAACATTATGCGCCTACAGCATAGCAAGATAACTGAATGAAATTCTTTCTTGGTGTAGGACAAGCCCTCTACAAACGTGGATAGTCTTCATTTGCGCAGCTCTTTAAAAATGAATAAAAAGCAAATTCAAATGTAAATGCATAGAAACAAAATGGAAATATAAAATCAACGCTGAGCACAGACCATGAAAGTTAATGATGGATAAGTAGACCGTACACAGGAAGTGAGTTGTGATAAAGTAAAGGAAGCATTTCTCTGCCTTATTCTGCCACCAGCTGGCAGACTAATGCAGTCTAAAGAGGAGATGGTAGACCTACCTCCTCCACCATCCAGTGAGGAGGCCAGACACCCGAAAGATTATGTTGCTCTATGACATGAAGACACTAGATTGCTAATATTATGTTCTTTCTTCAGAAAATAGTTTCCTCTGCAGACCAAGACAAAAATGATGGGCTCGACTTCACCGAGTTCTCCAATTATCTAGAGGAGCATGAGAAGAAGTTACTACTGACCTTCAAGAGCTTGGACAGAAACGAGGATGGTATGGTGTTATGGATTTAACCGTAGTTCAAATAGTTTTCAAACTGATATTGAACATTTACCTAAAAAGAAAAACCTATGTCAGGACTACTGTTTTTTTATATTCAACAGGACAAGTGGACTTACAGGAGATAACGCAGTCATTTGCCGATCTGGGGCTGGACATCAGCAAAGAGCAGGCAGAGAAGATCCTTCAAAGGTATTTGTGCTTAATATGTAACGGCTGTGAACTAAGTTACTCTGCAGTAGTGGTTGTTCTCTTGAGAATCTTGAAAATATTTTGTTTCTGTTACTTGTGTACCCAAGCAAAACCTGCACAAACCTAAACTAAAAGTGAAAAAAGTTGGGCGCCAGTGTGAGGGACTGATAACCAGTTCAGTCTGTGACTGGGGAGTGGGCTGATGGCACATGATAAAGAGCTGGCAAGATGTCTGACTTGCAGAGAGAGAGTATACAAACATGGAAGAATAAGATCATTGCTGGAGTTTTCTCTTGATTGACAAGTTGGCCATTAAACTACATTTAGTTAACTTAGCTTGGTGACTTTGGTTAAGAATCATGTATATTAAAAGTACCTTTCAAATGATTACATGTATAATCTAAGAGAAAATGATTGCTCCATTACATTGTCTAACGTTTAGGAAAAAAGAAGCACACATACATAAATGTGGTGGATGTAAGTGCAGGGCTGTCCTCCACCATGTCCTGTCAATCGGAAAGTGTACAAATACTACTGCTGCACTACTCATTTGGTTATCAGGGCCTTCTAAAAAGCACAGTATTTTTGATGCAGTCACAGTTTTGTAATTATAAAATTCACTTCCTTACTTTTGGTCCTTAAATAACATGAATGTGCAGATAAACAGACTGGTGATAGAAGCTCAGAAGAACACTAATTAGTGTGTTTCTTATTTATTTCCAAGGTGCGAAACTCCAGTAGTATATATAAATAACAACTTACACCTTCATCAGGGTCATCATAAAACACATTACCTAATATTATGTGTTTTATGATGAGCTCGATGACTTTTGATGAAGGCCACAAGCCGGAACGTGTTGGTCTGGCAATAAAGTTGTTTTGCATACTTTAGTGTTGCTGGAGTTTTGACCTCTTCTGTTTTATCATAAGGAATATAACCAGGATACAGAGGATCCTACATGTTTAAGAGAAATATTCAAATTTTAATAACCAAAAAATAATAAAACTTTCTTTGCATGCAGGGCTGTAAACATCAATATTTTTATCTAACATATTGCTTAGTGTTGCTCATTTGTGCGGGATGTTGCAGCCTGCTTGGATCAGTTATGCGCTTAAGTTTATATTTTTAGGTGATGTGATCAACCTTGCACCCTGGTAATAAAAAAAAATGTTTATATTTGTAAATATATACATACCTCTGCTAGTAAAAATATAATATTATTAATTAAATATTATATTAGACGTTATAATCCTTTAACAATATCCAGGATCTGAATTGCTAATAGTGTTGGAAAAAACGTTACCAGCCTATCCATAATAATTGCAGTGTGCACCATCCAGTCATTGTGCTCGGTAACTGAAGTGACTCCTGATTGTCTCATCGGTTACTATTGCCACAGGGGAAGAACAAGTTGTTGCATGTTAATTTCCTGCCTTGTTTGTATCAAGTGGAAGAAGTAACGTTTCAGGGCATGTATCTTTTGTAAAAATGCATGAGTCTGGTGCCTGCTTAGTAATGCTCACATTTGGATGCAGAAAAACAAATATTTAGGATAATACTCTTTAAAAAATGTAAACCTTAAAAAGAATACATACCATATTTAATTTTAACTTAAAATTAAATATACGAGATCTTCATAAAATAGAACAGAATTTCAGGAACTGAATTTAACAGAAAAAGATCCAATGTTTTGCGCCTGGAAATATAGTTTTGATAAAAAATAAAACAACCACAGTGGAATTGGAAGTGGAGAGAGTAATAGTGGTAAATTATTATAATAAAACTTTTATACATTTGTCTAATTTTGTTATTTTGTCTAAATTGTTGTAGAATATTTCTCCGTTCATAAGGGTAAATCTCAACAACACAGACATACTGCTGGATAGTTATTTTATAAGAGATGGGACAGATATTTCATAGGCAAGTAAAATTCACTATCTGTGGAGCAGTTCCAGACTGTAGTTACTGTAGGTATATTACACATTTTCTGTTCCCTGCTTTTGCTCTGGATTCATAATTGCTGATCCGGCTGCCTGACGCTAAAATTATATATATATTGAATAATAAAACTATCATCATTCCATGTCAATAAAAACTGGGACATTGTGACATTTTGTGTCTTATCAAGTAAAGGGTAAAGTATGGTGTAGGATTGTATCAGTAAATTATTCTGGGAAGGTCTGGGACCTACATGCGTGTACAACCTGTTGAACGAAAACATGTTACACTGAGTTGGATTATATTCAGAACTTCACTTGGTTCTTTGCTTTGCAAGTCAGGTTTATGCAGTGAGCTATACAACATGTTCTGTATTTTCATAAGCAAAGTTTGAAGCAGCAGATGTACATTACATTTATTTATTTAGCTGACGCTTTTATCCAAAGCGACTTACAATTGCTATACATATCAGAGGTTGCACGCCTCTGGAGCAACAAGGGGTTAAGTGTCTTGCTCAGGGACACATTGGTGGATGGGTTACAGTGGGAATTTAACCTGGGTCTCAAAGGCATGGATCTTATCCATTGCGCCATTACCACAGTGACAGTGAGACATAGAAAGAGAAGTAAAGCAGGATGTGCATGACTGTGAATCAGATAGAAAGATTTGTTTGAAAATCAGAGACAACCAAACTGACTCAGAAGAAGTAAATTAATGAAATATGAACACTGAGGAAATCCAAATAAAAAACAAGCTAAGAAATGTCAGCTGAAACCCGACTTTATGTAAAACCTTTTTTACAGTTATGGTTTGGATGACTTGTAACACAAGTCTTGCATGCTCACCACTATTTGTTGCCATTGGGCAAATCTCTCTCTCTCTCTCTCTCTCTCTCTCTCTCTCTCTTTCGATCTCTGACTGAGCAGAAGTAAAAAAATGAAAAAAGAAAAACTCTTTAGTCTAAAATGTGAATGGGATTTGGAATAGAGTATTAGCTTTGTTCTTAATCCAGTAGTCCATTTTCTTTGGGTGATGACGTAACGTTTACAGGATAAATTGCCTCTTTTATGTTGACAAATGCAGTGTTAATTATTTTTTAAAAATATTGAAATTAGTGCCTGATATTTCAATTTTAGTGTTCTGTGTTTGTCTCGATTAATTAAAGTTAGAGACGGACCGATTTATCGTTTAGCAGATATTATCGGCCGATATGAGCTACTTGCAGATATATCTGCATCGGCATTTATAACAGCCGATATGACAATTAATAAAGAGAAACAGAGAGTCGGATCTCATGTCATGTTGTTGTTGTTGTTGTTGTTCTGTCAATTTATGCTACCTATCGAGATGTGCGGTTCTGCGTATGCCTATGACCCACAAGCGTGGTCTGTTTCCACGCCCATAAAGCGGAGTCTATCGAGTCGCTCTGCCCTATCGAAAAATGCTACCATGTGTTCCCTTTTCCAATCCCATAAAGTTATAACTCTCACAGTATTATGACATCTTCTGTTGTTTGATTATATTATAACATCATTTCAGGGGTAGCATATTCTGATAGACTAATATCCCCTATCAAATAATGCTCCCACTACAGAATAATTTTATATTGCACCACTACTCACTCCATGTGTACTGTAAGGAGATGGGGAGCATGTTGAAATACTATCGCCTATTATGCAATCTTTATTTAAGATACCAGGGTAGTGTATTCTGATCTGATAGACTAATTGGCTAATGATTTTTGTTATATTGCTGATGATCAGCCACTGTCTCCACGGCATGCAAGGTTGCACAGATTTATGGGCGTGGAAACAGACCACGCTTGTGGATCATACGCATGCGCAGTACCGCTAAGTAGCAGCATGTCGATGGATAGGTAGCATAAATCGACAGAACACCGGAGCTACGGTGAGTTTCTCCCCAGCTGAGTTGTTGATTTGTCACGTCACTTACACGACTTAAATAATAATAAAAACAGCCCCTATCACTTCTCCTCTCTTGAAAACATTCATAGCCTACCAGACTTGCTAACCCTCCCGTTTTTCAGCGCACTCTCCCAGGTCACAGCAGGATTAGGTGAGTGGTGGAGGCTAAAGTTACGCTGACAGACGTGATTGTAGATTTATTCTGAAACAGTGCGGCACTTCTAGTGAACGGTCCTCTCATTTCTCCCTAGTTCATTACTTCTAAATAGTATTAAACAGCACGTACAGCAGCTAACGCTGCCCGTTTCTAAATTAGCCACAAATCCAATGCCGTGTTTATCAGTGGAGCAGCGCTAACGTTAATGAGCGATTCAACTATAGTGTGTTTGACGTATTGTAAATATATCTGCGAGCTTCTTGTCACTTGTTACAGTCGGCGTGTCAGAAATGATTAAACTAAAGCGGACTTGTGACTAACAAAGTTCTCTAACGTTACCTCTTCTGTGAAACGTTAGGTTGAAATCTCAAAGTTGCAGCTCCTCCTTGTAGACAGTCATGTAGTATTAAATTAAATAGCAGCGTTTTCTTTGCGTCACTGTATCATAGACGATATGTTTATTGTGGGGGCTGTTTTCCTGGCCCCCACAATAAACACTAGTTAGTGTAATGTGCATTAGTAGTAGTACTCCATAAATTACAACAAATCAGATTTTTTTTTTTTTTTTTTTTTAATTCTGTAGTTTTATTCATCAAAACCTTGATATATTTTGTTGTACTTTTGTTCAAAGCACTATTTATAACAATAAAAAAGTTTATTTTATGTCATGGTATGTTGGTGAGGTCCCAACATAACATTTTAGGGATAATCTTTATGTAATGCGTTTCTTAAATAAGGGGAAAAAACGATATCGGCTCTCAGATTTTAAAAATCTCAATTATCGAAATCGGTATCGGACTTAAAAATCCCATATAGTATGACCAGTTAAATATTTAGGGCCGTTGGTTTATTTGTTGGTTAAATTTCTGGTTTTATGTCACTGGGCTCTAAGGCTCTGACCATGTGATCACAAAGTCCCGGGTTTGAGTCCAGCTAAAGGCCTTTGTTTTATGTGTCTGTCTCCCCTCACGCCAGCTCTCTTCTACAAATGTATCTAAGGAGAAAATGGCCAAACATATTTTTAAAAATTACAAAAATACTAAATTTAGGATAGTAAAACATAATTCCTGTTACTGATTAACAGATTAAGATTTTTTGTCCAACCCTAGCTGGCAGTGTTTACTTGTGTGTTTGTATAGATGTTTCCTGTTTTCTTCGTTCAACACTAAAATACTAAAGGTCAAATTAATGCTAATCATCAGCAATGAGTAATCTTATTTTTAATTTTTATTTGTCGTTAGGTGCAAATTTGAGATAAACATAATATTATATCAATATTTTCTGTCTATCCTTGTTGTACAGTATCGATGTGGACGGGACCATGACTGTGGACTGGAATGAATGGAGGAAGCATTTCATGTTTAACCCAGCCACCAACCTGCAGGAGATTATCCGCTATTGGAAGCATGACTCGGTAACTATACTGTCTGTGTGGTGTGTGTGAGGGACAGAACAGAGACCCAAATGATGGATTAACATAGTGATACTGTTACGTTCCTCTGGGTGGTAAGTCCAGGGTGAGGAGGAGAGCAACAATATTTACTCCAAAACTGCTGCCAACCATAGATGGAGCCCACAGAAATCAAGGTTTACCTCGGTTTTGGTTATGATGTTAAGCTTAGTGTAGACCTGTTTTCAAAGTGTGGACCAAACTTTAAAGCTGAGTATATTTAACTAATTGGTAACATCTCTTTTAGTGTGATGAGGCAACCAGGAGTGGATAGTACTGGTGAATAGGTATTTGTTTCCTGTGCACCAGACAGTATCATGTTGTACAGTGTAAAATCTGGTCATACCAAGCCATTTTGCATGGCCAGTCTGACCAGGTGAAGGACTCTCTCACATAAACAAATAAATCATTAGTTGGAAACTTAATTTTATTCCTAATGGAAGAGACATGAAGGCAAAATGTTAACTATCCAACCTGTGCCTTCACTGTTCTTTCACTGTCCGACACCTCACTTTAAGAACCCATTGCCCTACAGGGGAAAGTTGTGACAGCTAACACTGGATTTGGACTTTGGCAGGATCTATACCTCCACGTCAACAGATTAGACTCATTCATTTCCAGAGAAGAGGCGAGAGAAGGAGGGAGACAGGTGGAGAAAGAGTGTAAAGGAGGCTATGAAGAGTTTGTTACTTGATGGCCTGTTGTTGGTAAAAGAGTTTAGAAGTGGCGAAAAAACAATAAGTCAATTTATTTATCACTCCAATTCAGAGCCTTGTGGTCCGGTCTAGTCTTAATTGTTGTTAAACATTAATGGCAAACACAATTACAAACTAAAAAACTAGTTAGCCTAACAAATCATATTTAAATCCCAATGTTATAAAAATGTGCTGTATAGAAATATACTGCCACTTGTAGTAGGGTTGCATGTCAGAGAGACAGCCAGTTCCAGTCACTGGCTAATCCCTGATGTTTGCTGCCTCTGGTCACTGGCACAACCTCGGAGTTTAAATAAACCTGTTGCTGCTAAACTGAGGCAGAGATAAGCTAATTTCAGTCTAACCTATAGGAGGATTAGCTTGTCAGTGGGATTGGAACAGGTTGCTGAGAGAGGATGTGAGTCTAGAGCAGGACAGGACGGGAGCGAGGTATGTAGCTCGGTGGTAACATCTAAGGCAGTGGGAGCTTCCCACCATCTCTAGTATTCACATTGATGGTTACTGGCCATTTGGGATTCAGAGTTTCTTCCCTCAGGCTGGATTAGAAACGTGTAAATGATCCTGATCAGTCTGAGAATTAGAGTTTAGGAGGGAGCTTGCACAGCACTGGGACTCTGCTGTCCTGGATCAGCAGCTTTATCAAAGGTTTGAGATGGCCATGGCTGTGCTGCAGCCGCAGCAGCAGCAGCAACAACAGCAAAACTGGTTTTTCATCGACTTTGAAGATGACGCGGTGATCTGTGAGGTGGAGGTGGACATGGTAGGTTAGTGTATTTAGCCTCTCAGTCCAGGTTGTCACCTGGTCATGAATTAAAACTTGTGTGTCTTTATAGTAGAACCCGATCGATACATCAGCATAGCCCAAATTCTCAGCCAGTTTTAGCTTATCACAAATACTGAATTATGATATCCCCATGTACAGAATGCCGGCCCATAAAGTACAGAAAAGCCAAAGATATGTTTACAGTAATTTACAAACAGTGTTGCCACGATGTACCTACTATGCTAGAGAGTGCTTACACATTTGTTTTTCGACTGTAAAATGTCCCACTCATATCTTGGTCACAATTAGGGCTGGGCAATAAATCAATAATGATAATTTTCGCAATATAATTTTCCTCAATAACAATAAAACAATATGTTCAATATATCGTCAATAACTGTTTGATTGAATTAATTAGAATCATGAACAAATTAGCACTTAATTTTTCTATTAATATATTTATTTTGTTGAGGAAAAGGGACTGAAAAACTATTTACTCATCACATTTGTTGAAAAAAGATTTTGACATTTATGATGATAAGTATCATTATTGAATGGTATGTAGTGTTTTTATCGTGATAACGTTTTTGGCTATATACCCCAGCCCTAGTCACAATTCAATATTTATCAAATTTGAGGGATCCTTGTCAAAACTGGATGTTTATTTAAAAAAATAAATATTGGCTTATTTATTGTTATTGGATTTTTAAAACTCTTCTATGTTTGAATCAAAGATTGACAAATATATGCTAAAATATTGGCTGTGGAGACAACAACAGCAACACCTGAGCTTTTCTGATGCAATCCAGTACAGCAGCTTAGACCTTTCAGTTTTTGGTGAGACTTTGTAAGAAAGATGTTCATTTAACTCAGATTTTGAGGATGTAGTTGGTTGTGGAGCAGTTGCTTTGAGTTCAACTTGAGAAAACACTGAATTAGCAGTGGTCTGGAGTAGTCTGTGCACAAGACAATATGTTACTGTAAATTAATCACTAACATCAGTACAGGCTTTCATATCACATGATGATTTGTCCACATTTTTTATTTATTTAACTGAAACTTTTCAAATTTTATTGCTGCAGTTTCAGACTGTTGCAAGTGACACAAAACTACATTTTTGAGACTTTATGTTACTGAAACGGTTTTAGAAAGTGGCGTGCTATTAAGTAATTGATCTCACAGCATGGAGCTGTAGTTATGTAAGATTTTGGATAAGGACATGGCGTTTGTCTGGTCCTGCAAGGCATTAGGCTCAGGGTGAGGCTGTGAATCAGGTTTGTTTTTGATGCTGTGTGTTTAAGATTCACTGAAGAATTATGTAACTTTCTTTTAGCTGCTTGTTGATGTTTAGACAGTTTACATAGTAATTAATATATGTCCTTGACTGTGATTTAATTACATTGTGTTGTGTGTAGGTGCTGGACATTGGTGACAGCCTTGCCATCCCAGATGAGTTCACAGAGGAGGAGAAGACGACCGGTATATGGTGGAAGCAGCTGTCAGCGGGGGCCATGGCAGGTGCCGTGTCCCGTACAGGAACCGCCCCACTGGACAGGATGAAGGTGTTCATGCAGGTGTGTTAAAACATGTACATTGTTGTCGTTGTTTTTGGTTTTCTGTCATAGACCTGCTGTCAGAAGTTGTTCTTAAATAACATTTTGAATAATAATAAGCAGATATAACTTTAAGACCAAACAAAAACATGGTTTAATGAAAGTGCAGTGCCGAGTATTCACTGAGAAGTGTTAGTATATGTATAGTAATGTACCGTAGAGTGTGACATCTATATAGGATAATCCCACATGTCATTCTTGCATACTACAGAAATACAATAGAATGTGAACTAGCTGTTCCAGTAGACACTGTAGCAGAAGTGAAGAAAATTCCCTCATTTAAGTGGTTAACCTGTTCTTAATTGTATTTTTATGTTTTTTTACATGCTGCCTTTACTACTACATAAATATATTTACTTTTTTAAGTAATGGCTTACAATTGCAAATGTTTATTTATTTATTTACAGGTGCATTCCTCTAAGACAAACAAAATCAGCCTGGTTGGTGGTTTTAAGCAAATGTTAAAAGAGGGAGGCTTGATGTCTCTGTGGAGAGGAAACGGTATCAACGTACTGAAGATTGCACCTGAGACTGCCATTAAATTTATGGCCTATGAGAAGGTAAATCCATTTCACCTCCTTTAAACTGATCACAGATCCCCTCAGGCTTTGTGCAAGAAACATTCATACACTGTATCAACTTTTTAACATCAAAGATACAGTCCTTTTGTCACTGTTAGATGATCCTTAATAGCCTTCATTTGTCACTGTGTTTCCTTAGTATAAGACCCTGCTGTCCAGTGAACCAGGGAAGGTCAAGACCCACGAGAGGTTCATGGCTGGATCGCTGGCTGGAGCCACAGCACAAACTGCCATCTACCCCATGGAGGTGAGCATAGGTGGAGACATTTACAGATGTATCTGTGTTTATGTTTCATATCTGAGTATTAAGAGTGGCATCAGGTTAGAGAAAATGTATTTTCATATACATTTGATGATGATAGCTATCTCTGTTGTTAGGTCTACATTGTCCTCTAAAGACAATTTTCATCCTAAAAAAGTCCATATCTGGCCCATTTCAGCCTAACCTGAAAGTAAAGAGCAAAGTAAAAAGGTGTGAGAGACTTTACGGAAGGTAAAGTAGATTTCTGTCCTTGATTGTTAAGATTAAGCGATACCATGCATTAACATGAACAGTTATCTTGCATATGGGAAAAACACAGTATGTAATTTCCTGCTTCAAAACAGTAACAAAAGATGTAGTTCAATCACATTGTGAAGTAGCGTGGGATCATGGGAGTGGTTGTCTTCACACCAATGGCCTTCATTGCAGTCAGCTTCTCCTGGATTCCTTTAGTATTCATCCTTCAGGAGGTTTTTACCGTGAGCAAAAAGGATCCACTGAAGTCTCCTCCTCTCCAAAACAAGCAGACCCGGTGATTAAAACCGGTAGAAACACTGCAGTTTCACGTTAAAGAGTAGGTGTTTCTCTGATGCTGTTTGCCAGACAAAGGACTTCACAAAGGGGCAGCGAGCCAAGCTTGCTGCTAACATTTGCTGAGCTTGTTACTCTGATAGCTTAAGACCCACACATCTAATAATATCTGTCATCTAGTTAAAATATATAGTTAAAAACTACCAAGATTTAACTTGTATTGCAAAAATGTGGTTTAAAACTGGATAAAGAGACAATTTATGACAGCTTCTGGCAGATGTATACAACAAAATAAAGCTAATTTTGACCTTCGGTTAACTAGGAGATGGACTACAGAGTACAGCCTTATCAAGGCAGCTGCGTCAGTCTAGTCAAGCAACCAGACAGAGAGGAAAAACAGAGTTTGACTTACCTTTGCCCAGCAAATTATCCTAACGTGGGAAACCCTGTGTGATAATACCCTTAAAGAAGGAAGATTTCTTCACAAAAACTATAAAAAAACATTATCTAACCACAACTGTAACGTAATCCACTTCACTCCCTATACTCAGTGTGTTCTGAACAATCATATTTTCAACACTGTGCCTAAACGCACTGCTTGTGTTTCAATTCTCATGACTGTTAGGAATACTGAGCATATGTACAGCGAGGTGGATTATGCTGCAGGGAAGTTTACTTTGATGTTCTGAACTGATTAAGCTAGTCACACCTTAAGCTCGATTTATACTCCTGCGTAGGGTCTACGTACGTAGCTACGCCGTAGGCTACGCAGGTAGCCAGGCATTTATACTTGTGCGTCCATGTGTCCGTCAATCTGCAATTACATCCCCAAACGCTAGTCGGCAGTAACGCTACAGCTGACTGTAGTGTTGACTTTTGCCAGCCGAGCAGGCTAACTTCTGGTTTAGCCCTCTGCTAACGTGAATGGGGGTAAAATTGAATACGTGCGGCTGGTGTAGCCATTTCAAATGTTACCGACCGAATGGATCACATTCTAATAATGAAACGAGTCATTTCGCTCGGGTTGTGACGGTCAAATATATTAATCCACCGTGTTACAGCCGCCGTTTTGGCCGCTAGTAAAAGTTACTTCAAAGCACGGGAACTTCCTGTCGGCTCGGAGGCGTTGCGAGGCTTCCCAGCCGACCAATCACAGAGCTTACGGTCTGTGTCGACTCGACGTGTAGCTACATTTTTTGAGGAGGTGCACGTCAGGCTACGCCGTAGGGTAGGGGGCTACGCAGAGGATACGCCGTCAATTTGACACAGAAGTATAAATTGCACTTCAGCGTCATGAATGAAGAATTTTTATTCAAAGGAGGACATTCAGCCATTGTGTAGGATTTAGTGGCATCTAGCGGTGAGTTTGCAGATTGCAACCAGCTTAATACCCCTAGCCTCACCCTTTCCTTACAAGCATGCAGGAGAACCTACTGTGAAAAACCAGATGCAAAAGGCCCTCTCTAGTGTTTGGTTTGTCCGTTCTGGGCCACTGTAGAAACACAACAATTCTTATTTTCATGTGATTATACACTTATAACAACACTTCTGCCATATTCTGCCAATAGGGCCTCCTGAAGCCAGCTGAAGTCAGTCAGTAGCTTCAGCTTCAAAGTGCTGCCTGGTAAACGGCCTCACTTATAATCTTTCATCTGCAGGTGATGAAAACCCGTCTGACGCTGAGGAAGACCGGACAGTACTCAGGAATGTTTGACTGTGCCAAGAAAATCCTGAAGAAGGAGGGAGTGAAGGCATTTTACAAGGGTTACATCCCCAATATTCTGGGCATCATCCCCTACGCTGGCATAGATCTGGCCGTGTACGAGGTACGTGTTGATTAATCTTTCTCATGTGGAAAATGTACATACAAAGCTCAACTTCCATACGCAACATCATTGGTCATTAAAAACAGTGAAGGGTGTCCACTTGATACGTTACATAGATGTCACATACTGATTTTTTGAAATATAACTAATACTTCTTTCACAAACACTTCCTTATCCTCACCAGAGCTTGAAGAACCTCTGGTTGTCCCACTATGCCAAAGATACAGCCAACCCCGGTGTTCTGGTGCTACTTGGCTGTGGTACCATGTCTAGCACGTGTGGCCAGCTGGCCAGCTACCCCCTGGCTCTGGTCCGCACCAGGATGCAGGCACAAGGTACAGAGAACCAAACCTCATTCAAAATTCTGTCAACTTTTAATTTAGGACCATTGTCATTTTCCCAGTGCCTCCATGATGTTATCCAGAGGGACTTAAGTGTGGGAAGTACAAAATTAAAACAATTGCAAAAAAAAGTGAATCACTTGAGCAGTGATTGTTGTTATTGGTAGAGAAATAAGCATTAAAAAGCGCATACTCTAGCTAAAGATTACATTAAGGCAGCTATAATTAAGCTGCTATAATAAAGATTTCTATATTGATAAATGATCACATGACTACTTATGTGAAAGAATTATTACTTGGCTAACTCAGTAGATCCCTTTAGCTCTACTGAGCTTTATTGCATATTTTAGCTCATTGTTATGGCTTTCTAGCCTGCCTCTGTACTGTTTTGGTTCACTCATTTTCATATTATTGTTTTCATCAGAAAAGCCCTAAAAAAACACCTGTCCAACACCAAACAACAGTCAAACAAAATAAGCAACAACTGGTGAACATAGTGGAGCGTTGAGCAGCTAAAGAGCCAAATATGTGTCTCAGGAGTTAGTGGAGACTAACAACAGGGCTAGAAGGAGAGTTAATATTGGACTTACATACATCAGGTGGCCAAGTACATGACTCCAAATAATTGCTAATGTTGCTCCATATCTAGTAAAATGTACAAAGGCAACTGTTAGGTAAAACGTTTGTCATATCAACTTCATTAGGTCATAATATGTCAATGTTGTGTTTATAGCGTGTTTCTGCTGCCCCCAAGTGGCCTAAGAAAATCAGTTATTGCAGGTTTAGTCCAAATGGTCATTTAAATATTCTCTGAGAGAAACTGTGCAGAATACAGTGGTTTCTCAAATGTTTTTCTTTCTTTTTTCAGCTTCTATAGAGGGCTCAGAGCAGCTGCCCATGACGCAAATGGTGAAGAAGATTGTGGAAAAAGAAGGTCTCTTTGGACTTTACCGCGGCATCCTGCCCAATTTCATGAAGGTCATACCGGCTGTCAGCATCAGCTACGTGGTGTATGAGTACATGCGGTCTGGCTTGGGTATTCAAAAGTAGGCAGCAGAGTAATCTATGACCGTGTGTGTGTCAGTAAGAGTGTAAGAGGTTGTGCAGCTTTTTTTTTTTTTTTTTCAAACTGTCATGTAAAGCACTTGTTTACCTGTAGGTCTCCAAAGTCTGGACTCACACTGCTGCAGATGGAGTCATTGTGGAAGTTTTTTTCAAGTGATTGCAGGACTTTAGCTAAACTGTTGAGCCGTTACGAAAAACTTCTTACGAAATCCTGCAGTTCTCACAGAGCTGATATTGATAAATAAGACTTCTACAATGTTTCCAACTGTATGTTGTTCGTCCAATCTGCGTTTAGGGTGCACCCACAGATTTAAGTCAGTCTTAGGACCCAGTTTGGGTCAACTGAGTTTAATCAAGAGGTGAATATTAAGAATTTGAAAACCAAAAACACTTGGAGAGGTTCATTTTGATTTTATTAGAAATGTCAGTGTTCTTATATCAGTCATTTTAAGTATGGGCCCTGTTATCAATGCACAAGAAATATATCAAATGTTCTTCTAATATTGGACCAAAGGGCACCTTATTGTACCAATCCAAAAAGTAGAACACACAATAGCACTTTTGTTAAAAACATTTTTGCCATCTTTATCAGAAAAATACGCACAAAAGTTGAGAATTCATATTTCTCCCTCGTTCAGCTTTATCGAGTTTCCCAAAATATTGTGCAAGGTGGTCCCGCATGTTTCACCTGGAAATCTGAGGAAACGTTTTAAGTGCAATACTGTATTTACTCTTTGGTGATTCACATTCTGGTATGTTTGACACAGGTATGTCTATTGGGACTTCACCCCCAGTGTTGTTGGTTCCACAGTGGTCTTTTTATATTGGACATCATTACTGCATCTTTTCAGAAGTTTTGAACAGGGGAGTAATGTGCCTTATGTGTTTGTTCTCAGATATCTGTGGACTTCTCCACCCTCCATTTGTTCTTGCCTTTCTTTCTAATATTTGGTTAATTACATGCTAGTGTTTACATTAATAAAAACATTTGAATACAAAAGTTTTTATTTTTAGCTTACTTTGGTTGAATTGTACAAGTTTTTTTTACTAAATGTGTTGGCAAATTAATGTGCCAGTTATGATCTAAAAAAACTCTTAAATCTGAAAACTAAACTGATGATCTAAACTGAGTACAAGCTTTCGCTGAAGCCTTGAGTGTTGTGCAATTTGATGGTGTGCATTTTACCCTTGAGGCGTTAAGTACAGATTACTCCAGTTTAGATCTTATGCAATACCCTTTTCCCCAGTGATGTTGACAGTGCTGACTTTAGCTGTCTGATCCTGGGCATGTTAAATGATGCAGTAACAGTGGCTCTGCTAATTTGTAGCACGCACTAAAGACACTGAAAGAATTATTTTCCGCCTATCCGGCTCCTGCTTAAAAACTCAAAAACATACTTTTTGATAATGATTCTGAATAATCACTGTGTAACACCCCTCTTTAGCTCGGATTTGACCAACCAGTGGTGAAAATAAGTGGCAACAAGCTGTGCAAAATATAACCTCCAATTTTATTTACACACCTAATGAAAAAGACATAAAAAGGTTCAAAGCAAGGTCAAAACTAAGAAAGCTAAAAGTCAGTTTAGTTGGGGAAGCTCAGGGTCAATTAAATAAAATGGAATCAGGTTATTTGAGGCTGGGTGTGCTCAACTTCTGTTCCCAGCGTATAGCGAAGATGAACAACACACCAAGGACTGGTCGGTTGTGGCCTCCTTACTTCCAGGGGCCTCTTGTAACTCCACTAAGTGGCTGTTTCTCTGCACCATGCAACTCTCCAGACTCCGACCCAGCCGTGTTCCACACTATCTCGGATACCAGCAGCACTCTCAGCACACCTGCACATTGTACCCAGGAGACAAGCAGAAAACTCACAGAGCCTAGTGTGTGGCTGGTTCAGTGACTTCAGATTGGAGGTCACACCCAAGCACACCTGTCTACCATCAGCCCATCCCCATGCAATCAACCTATGTGAAGACCACACCCACCAAACACACACTTTAGGTGCTCACCCGTCACACTATCACAGCACTCAAAATCAGGCCGATACAGGTCTGACCCGTTACAACTGCAGTCAAGCAAAAACCATAGACTGTATAAAAGAAAGAACACTTAACATTTCTTAGTTACAGCTTCTTAAATGTGTTTCTTTATACGCTTTCATTACACAAATTGAGGACCTCTAGGTTTCCAGACTGTTGGTCAAACAAAATATTTTTGGTTCTGGTAACGTGACTTTAGAGACTAAAATGTTATAAATAGGATCAACTCAAGTAAAAAGACTATGTTGAATGAAAAAGTGCATTTATTTGATATTGAGCAAGAACTTCCATTTTCAGTATATGAACATTTCTGATCTTGGCGACTGCTAGTGGTCGAATCAAAGAAGTCACCGACAAGAACTGTTTAACAATTTGAAAGATGGGACACACTAACATACACAACTTCTACAAAGGCTTTAAAGAAAAAACAAATACATACTGTACGGCCTTCTATGGAAACAGGACTATAATTTCATTACACCCTATTTATGAAAGATGAATGTACATTAGATGTTAATTCTATTCTGCTTTTACAGATTGATGAGTTTTAGTAAAAATAAATAAATAAAATACCCACACAGTACATGACCAGGTAGGCCTGCCATAAAGACAGATGATATTCATAAGACTCACATTAATAAGAAATAACTTATATGATCACTAAAATAAAAACATGGAGGCTTTATGGTTCAATAGATTTTTTAATACTATTTAATCTGAAAATAGCTTCTTTTCTGGGTATATTCCATTAATTATGAGTGTACCAACAAGAGAAAAAAATGCCACAGTGGTCAGGATGGAGCGCAGGGCTTTGAACCAGCTGGGGTACGTGGGTAGCAGAGACAGATCATAATGCAGCGAGATTCCAAGTGCCATGATAACCATGGTGGACGCAGGAATAATGTTGTCGCTCATAACCATGGCCACCCAAGCTAACAGTGGGGGAAGCACACTGTTGGCCAGGTTTATCCAGTCAGGTTTGGCTGGGCTGCTCTCAGGAAGAGCGAATCCCCAGCGAGCTCCACCCAGGAAGGAAACAATGGAAGCACCATAAGCTAACTGAGCATAGGCCAACTCTGAAAAGTAGCTTTCAGTCACAGCCATAAGCAGAGTGGGGGTGACAAAGGGGATCAGCCCTGCAAACCCCAGGTACAGGGCAGGTTTGGGACTTTTCCACAAGTCTTTCATGTCATAGCGCAGCAGATCCAGCTCTCTGGGGGGAGGTTCAAGCTGTGGTCGCTTCTTCAGTCTCACAGCAGAAGAGTGGAAATGTTGGTTCCTCACTAAAAATTGGGCTGCGTGAGTTTGGATCTTCTGGAAGAGCTTAGTCCTCCTGAAACCGAGTACAGGAGGAGGTTTTAGTCGTCCATCATCTGTTGAGGCCCAGAAGGTCTGCAGGGAGCTGGATCCCCCATCAGAAGCTCTAGTCAGGGCTGATGTCCAGCATCTTTGTGGAGGACCTGCCCAATGCCACACCTAAAAAGACATACATATTAAAATTAAATATATTTTAGTTTTAAATTGATAAACTCTCAAAAACAGCTTTAAGTGCAAAAAACTGTCTTTACTTTCTGGGCTGCAAAGATGCTTCTTCCAAGTATAACAGACAGCATCTGATGAAAGAAGCAAACAGATAAGGTCAGATCAAAAAACACAAAGGCTAATAGACTCAAAGTTAAGAAAAATTAGAGTAAATTAAAATATTAAAAGAATAAAATGTAAAATGGATTAGAGCAACAATGGATGAATATTTTCAATATTCAGAATCAGAAGGAGCTTTATTGCCAAGTAGTGTTTTCCACATTTTGGAATTTGCTTTGGTGATAAGGTGCTACACGTAGACAAACATACAATTGACATAAATAAATGTAGAAATATATAAATATGGAATAGACAATGCAAGTTATGTAAGAATAATAAAAATAATAGAGAAAAATAATACAACTATTTGCAGAGACAGAACAACGTCGCAGACACAACAACGTTAACGTTAGTAAGTTAACAGCTAACGTTACACAGCTGAAGCATGTGTTGCTGCTTACAATATGAATCCATATTCCTGAAACACAAACACAGATAATTACCTCTCTTTCAGGTTGAAAAGCTCATACTTTGGCCCTGTGGGGGTCAAACAGTAAAGTTGTGGGAAACACGTTGGTACGCCGTTTATTCCTTCCGTGTTAGACAAGAAACGTCCTTTAACTACAGTTCCACTACAATACAGCGAGTCTAAATCGATCTAATAACCTGATGAATAAATATTAATAGTTGGACAACAATTTTACTTGTTACAAGTGTGCATGCTACTTATTTAAAACTGGCCGTGTAACATTACATTACAGCAGGCACGTGCTTTTTTCTGGGATGCTTTGGAGTTCCGATGCTCTCTCTCTCTCTCTCTCTCTCCCTCCGCATCTCACTGCAGCAGCACACAGACAGACAGACAGACTGCAGCCCCTCCAGCTTCTCTCCCAGAAGTGTTTTTCTTGGCTTGTGTGGAGGTGAGTTGTGATGAACAAAAGACTAAACTACCAGTGCCTCCAGTTTACCGCTAATTAAACAGAAGACAGTGTAGGCCTATGTCTTGCTAACGCATGGACTCATGAGCTGAGCTAATAAGTTAGCTGAAGTTTGGCTAAGGCAATATCTCATGGCCTTACAACCTGATGTACTGGTGGAGACACTACAGGTGAACACAGTAACATTTGTGTCTAATAACGTCATCACAATCGCCACATTGATATGCAAATTAGGCGTTAACTAATTAAAATGCGCTAATTTGCACGCATTTGACAAGTCACTGCAGGTGAATGGGATAAGGAAAATAACATAAAGCATGTCACCACAGAACTTCCCCAGTTAATGACTTACATCAAGAGTATTTTTTCTGAAATGTGCTGTGTAAATATGCAGATTAGCTTGTTTTGGTTAATATAGAATAAATCTACAGATGCAAATAGACCGAGGTTATTAGACTTAAAACCAACACTATCTAAATGTGTATTCTTTAAGTTTTATTTCTATTAGAGTAAAAGAAGACATGGAAACAAAATAGACCAAAGTCTCAAAATTGACCACTCCGTGAAAAAGTGCCTTAAAGAGTAGATTCCTAGTTTTGATGGTCAGCTCCTCATCTAATAACTCTCCATTCTATTAGTTTGTTGTATGCTGATAAATCCTTATATAATACAGACAGCCCTCCCTCAAATGTGAAACTAAGTCCATGTCACCATCAGTTATTGTGTGTGTGTGTGTGCGTGTGTGCATGGTAAATGTAATATAATTAACAATGTAATGTTAAAAATGTAATATTTAATTAACATTTATTTTAATTATGCCTGCAGCCCAATGCCACAGTTTAGTGTGAAGATTTATGTGAAGTGTTATGTATTCCAATAACACCAAAAGAATTGAAACATTTTATTGGCTTGTGAACAACTTATTAATGAAACTATGTCATAAAAATATACTTGAAACTAGTAGCATAGAAAACATGCACATTGTGGCATAGTTTCCTTTGCTGTCGCCTGCTCCTGTGATAAACCTAGAGAATACTAAAGAAGACCGTGGTCTCTGTGTGAACTGATTATTTTGTAGAAAAGTAAAAATTTGTTGAGTTAATATATTCGTCTTGTTTAAAAAAATGCCCTTTTTTTCACTTGAGCCCCTGCCCACCAAAATGTCTGTGCACACCCCTGCATTACAGTGAAAACAGTCATCGATTAGCAGGACTGATTAACGAGTGCATGTTCAGTTTGTGACTTTTGTCCTTCACTTTAGAGCAGTTTAAATGTAGTAAATGTGTATGGGGAAATGTATAATGGCAAATTCTGAATTTGTTTAAGTGGTTTAAATTCAAGGAATTTCAACAACTGCATATAGTTAACACAATCAAACCAACTAACTCAAATAGCTGTCTCAGAACGTTCTCTGATTTCCCTGTAATTAGTACCAGATTATATAGTTATTTGTCATTAAACTTAAACCATAAAATTAAGTGTTTTATTTCCCAATATCAAAAAAATTCTGGTGGTGAAATACTGAGTATTTATTCATTGTTTTGGCCAAAAGGTAATCACAGTTACACAGGAACCAGCCCCCTTCAGACTCTCACAGCTGTAGGAAGTGCTCAGACCGTTCCAGCGCTCTGAAAGACAAATATTATCAACATGTTCATGTGATTTACTAAGGAAAGTTAAATCCATCCCTGTTTACTAACACCAGTCCCCAAGCCGGTCATTTACAGTACCAACCAAATATCAAATCTGGAATTAAATAGGAAATATGCACTATAATATTTAATTATAATTTTATATATATAAATGATTAGAACGTGTCTGGCTGGGTGTTTTACCGGGCACATGTATGTAAAAATAACTGTAAGCACTAACCATGGAATCAGATCATTCATTTACAGAAGATTTTCTTTATTAACACATTACACATGTTAGTGCATCACAAGAAGACCTATGTAGGTGTCTTTGAAAGAGAAGCGAAAAAAGTCCAATGACAGTGAGTAATTTGGCAACAGTAAATGTCATGTTTACATTTAACATATTTTTCTGTGACAGAAAAAACACACCTCCAATCTTCCTGTAACAATGAGCGTTTATTTATTGCATTTTGAAATAAAAGAATTCTGTTTCAGTACTTTTGATTCTATTAGCAACCTTTGTTACTGAGAAGTACAATAAGTTTGATGGCGTCCAACACCAAAATCCCCAGCAGGGAGCAGTCATGCAACAGAAATATCTGTAACTCAATATCTCTTATCTATTTTTTATTTTTTTTATATTATCTATATCTATCAATATAACTTTGAAAGAGGACTATTCATTTTTCAAACACCATTGTTTAAGCTTGACTAGATAAGAAAAAAAAAACATTTAAACCAACAGCAAGGTCTTATCCTTTCTCATGATCCCACCTGCTTCTCATACATATTTCAAAAATAGGCTCTTTATTGTTAGCCAAAACAAACAGCAGATTCAGATTAAATAAAGAGACGGTGGGCTCATTAGTGTTTGCTAAAAAGTAGAGCTCTGTCATTTCACCAGTGTTGTTAGTTCTACACACAATGTAAAGAATGAGCTCTTGTGCTGAAATGTATAGCTATGGAACAAAGCAATAAACTACTGTCATCCTCTAGAAACAGAATAAACACAGGAACCAGCCGCCTTCAAACTCTCAGATGTAGGAAGTGCTCAGACGGCTCCATCGCTCTGAAAGAAAAACATTTTTAAGTGATTTGCTAAAATAAATCTAATTCATCACGGTTTACTAACACCACTCCTCAAGCCAATTACCATTTACAACCTCAACCATGTATCAAAACTGGAATTAAATGGGAAATATATGTATTATTTAAATTTTATCAGGTACTTACTGTAAGCATGCTTTATTTTACTTTCTGTCAAACATCATAAAGCCTCATCTACTGTTTTATCTTTTGTAGTAGGCTAAAATTTATTTTTATTTTCCTTCATTTTACCAGGTAAAAGTATAATTGAGATCATTAGCTTTACTTTTGGCAAAGAAGCTATTATAAAAAGAATGTTACAGCAATAAAACGTCTACAGTTATTATCTCACCCATGTATCTTTTATTTCTGTAGTTTTAGCGACATAATGGACTATTAGCCTACTACGGACACAAAAATCAATAGTGAAAATAATATAGTAACAGAAATGTGGGTTGAATTCAGATTTCCCTTCAAAAATATAAAATTCATCTCATAAATAGACTCTACTGAACTCATCTCATCTCAGATTTAGATACTGACCCCTCCGCAGCAGCCACAGCAGCCACAGCAGTCCCCACACAGAGCTGCCAGCAGGCCGTTCACCACCTGCACAGCACACAGCCCCATCTGGATTAAACCCATGACCAGCAGTACAGAGAACAGAGAGAGATGCCAGGACACCACGTTGGCTGGCTCTAAACAAAGCGACCAGGCAGTTTTGTTGGTCAGGTAGTCACTGGAAATGGAGGGACAGCAAGAGATTATCTGTAAACACTTAAAACAGGTGAAGAACAGGTTAATTATTGAGTGAGCACAATGGTTGAAAGTAAAAATGACAAAACTTTGGGTTACACTGGAAGTTATGCACCAGATTGTTTGTGGCCTGGTGCAGTGACTTGTGAGGTTGTCATATTGGTATATTTTTCTAAATTTAGACAGAGCCAGGCTGTCTGTATCCCCCTTTAAACTAAGCTAAGCTAAATGACCCGCAGCTCTAGCTCCATAGTTGATGTGCACACCTGAGAGTGGTTTCACTCTTCTCATGTAACTATCAGCAGGAAAGCGAATAAGCATATTTTCCAAAATGTCAAATTACTTCTTTAACAAAAACTAGTTCTAATTAGGAAAAGTAATATTTATACAGGTACTTCTAGAAGTCTAAGTTTTAGTAGGGCTGTGTGTCTTACCCATTCGAAAAAGGAGTGTCCCATGTCTTGTTTGTGCCGTAAATGGAAATCACACACTCGGGTCCGTGGTTTATGGCCACGGCAGAAACTACAACTGAGTAACCAGCCCCCAAAACACCCACAGCTGCAAACAGTATGGAACTCAGCATCTACAGAGAGAGAGAACGGTTACTCATATTGGGAATCAATAAATAAAAATACCTTTAACATCTCTCGGTGTGAGCGTCTGTGACAACAATGAAGTTATTCTCTGTGTGCGGAGCACAGGCTGAGGGTCACAAACAGATAATGGCCAACACAGAGCTACTGAGATGGTGTGTGTGTGTGTGTGTGTGTGCACGCACGCGCAACTTTTGTTTGCTGATTCTTTCCTGGACCCCCATACACACTCTCACACTTACACATTTCTGATGTATCGATCAGTATGTGTGTCTGTACGGGAACAATACGGGCTCTGTGTGATAAAGTCATGTGAAACTCCCATCAGTGGAATTTCTTGTGACAGTAATCAAATCTCATCAATTTGTGTGTGAATGTATAAGTGTGTTTCGCATAAAATCCATTAAAAGTAATAAAAAGCTAAATAAACCATAACCACAGATTGTAGGTGTTTCATAATCCAATCTCCACCCAGATTCGATTTTTTAAAATCAGATTTTCACCAATTAATTGTTTTTTAATTATAATGACATGTTTTAGGTGGCAGGATACCCAATACTAATCTTTGGGGAAATTAATTGATTAATTAAAATTAATAAAAATGCAAGTTATTCTTCCTGCGCAGGTTGTTCACTGGCTGAGTGCCTGTACGCATGCAATGTCTGTTTTAATGGGTGACTTTTGTAAAGGATGCATACAGAAAAAATACTTTCTGGGTCCTTGGGTGTCAGGTGATTTGCACTTCTGATTATGGCCACTACACTAAAATAGCCACAGACCCTCATCTGCATTAGCAACAGGCAGGTTTAATAGATGAAGACATTTTGACAGTTTGAGGTGCACATGATAATAATTAATGAAAAATAAATATCATTTAGCTTCTTCCATTTCAGTGTCCTGGTATTTTGCATTCTGACAGCCCTTAGGCAAACTTTACATTGTTGGCTAACTTCCTAATCATTAGTGTTTTATTGAGCCTACCCTAGCATACTGGGACGTGTAAATACTTTGTTTAACGTCACATTCCCCCCAACCAAAATAAAACACCAGTTTCTGCAGAATTATTTTTGGACCCATTCTAATCTTCCTGTCTTGTGAGCCTCCTTAGGATCCTCGCCCAACTTTTGAAAGCCACAGCTGTAAATGATTATATCATTATGGTGAGAAGTGAAACAGTGAAACAGTGAAACATCTCTGCACCGCAAATCGCCGCCCACAGCTTTCATTGCCACAGCAACCGCAGCAGTCATTGTTCTTCAGACCCATGAAGACCAGAGCTGGGAAGATCATCTGTCACACACACACACATACAATAAAACAGTTTAGTATAATGAACTATTTGTTCATCTGCTGTTTGCAGGAGGAAATTTAACTGTCCCACCATAATCATTAAGGTATACAGTATTATATAATTACGGTAGTTCCTAAACTTGCCATTTGTTAAAGCAGCACCAACTCTCACTGGGGTTGACACATTTTTCTGCAAGTATGCAATCAGAATACTTTGAAAAATACTAAATCATATCTGATCTATCATTCTACGCACATTTATAAAACTGATTCTTAATAATTTCTTTGATGGTATTGTGTTGTCTTTCCAATATTTCTAATGTGAACTAACTGTAACCTAATGAGATCATTACCTCTTTCACAAACACAACTGTATTCATACAGTTAGAATTGAAACAATTAGTTGATTAATTGATCAGTTAATTCGTTTTTTTTCCCCAGGAAAACCGGCAAAAACATCCTCAGTTCCAGCTTCTTAATTGTGAATATTTGCCTTTTTTTAAATTTCATAGTAAGCTGAATATATTTAGGTTCTGGACTGCTGAACAGACAACAGTAATTTTAACGTACTCACCAGCACTCCAGATCCCAGAATGCCTCCAAAGTACCATACTTGCTCTGTGATATGTTCGCTGTCCACAGACTTTCCACCGGGGAAGAAGAGCAGGATGTTACACAGCACACACACGATGGTCAGAGGCATCAAAGTGATCCCCAGACACTTGGCAAAGCCGCCTGAACACATGCTGACACTGATGCGTCAACCTCCTGTACTAGTAACAACTCCTTGGGTTTTAAAAGTATCTTGTGGGCTTCAAAACTCCACCGAGGTTGATCAAATCAGTCAATTAAATTATCTCGAACTGACAAAGCAAGGGTGTTTTGGTTCTAAAAATGTACTTTACTGTTTTTGTCCACTCGAAGTTCAGTTGTTAGAATTTGACATAACACCACACCCGTTGGCTTTATATATATCTCTAAATGCAGCTTCTCAACACCTCCTAAAAAAATCTTCTTACATCTCTTAAGCTTGGTTGTTATTCAAAAAGCTCTGTCCACTTTACTGAAACGTCTAAATGATACTGTCTGCCTCACCTGTCTTGTTTCTCATGATGGTTGATGCTGTAGTTGAGCCTTTATACCCCCCCACCTCCACCCCACCTGTCTAACACACACACACACACACACACACACACAGCCATCAATGAAGGATTACATACCTGTGTGCGCACACAGACACCCTGGTGAAGACAGTGGTTAATGTTCTACCATGTGTTTTGTGTACATGGTGACAGAGGAAGTGACAGAGAATTAGTCGATACAGCAGGGCCCTCATGGCTGATTTGCACCTACCACGGGTTTAGTCAGTAACACGAATTTTGTTTGCATACACTTTTCATACACCTATATGAGTCATTTAACCGAACAGTAAATTGGTTTGGATCAAATCCTGGCTTTTGGTCTCCAAAATAAGTCTTTGTGATTAAACAAAGATCGTGTTTTTTTATTTACATTTTTGAGTTAAAAAAAGAACCAAAAAAAATTAACATCTAGCACCATAAAAATTACTCTTGCCACACCTCACCCAGAAGGTTTAATGCCCAACTGTCTGACCAGAATGACTTAAAACTTCTGCTCCAAAGACATTTTGACACTGAGGAAATTAAATCTAATTTCAGCTAAACTTGAACTTAACTTGAACACAATTGGCAACGTTATCGTTCCTAAGAATTTCTGCTATCCATCAATAGACTGCGTATCTCTAATCTATTTAGGCTACTAGATCTTTTTTATCCAATAGACCCCCACAGCCATATCAGAAGGGCCCGAGTACCCCTTTATCATACTCCTTTGATAGATGGGATGGCTTTATGGTGTTTTTGGCCAAGTTTGCATTTGTACTACTTGGAGTGGCACAACCTGGTTGTTTTAACACTTCACATTTAATTTTTCATACTAGTATTCCTGCAGTTTTAATAAACAATTGACTCAGGTTGGTGGAAAACCGAGGCATGTATTGTGCAGACTACCATAGTTGGTAGGTTGTTTATTTTTCTCCTAAACAAAAATATGTAGATATATATTATTAATTTTTTTCCTCATACCCCCTGACAACTGCAGAAACGTATCCCTGTTTGAGAATCACTGTACTAGATTGTCTGATTCTAAAAACTTGGATTTTAGCTTTCGGTGCACATGAGCATTTCATCCAAATGCATCAATGTGTATGGTTATGTCTATTTTACTTTTGAAATTGTCGTCTGAAATAGCGTTAGTAGCGTTTAGAATTAATTTCTGATGATGAAACCTCAGCATCCATCAATGTGATCTGTCATCTGCTTCTATATGCTCGTCCCAATCCCAGTGTCCCCCCTAAGCCCTGAACCCTCACAGACTTTACTGAGGTCACTTGGAAAGTGATTGAGTGCAAGAGGCTGCAAGGGCTCAAAATGCTGTAAACAGGGCAACACTTTGCCACATTATCACGTTACCTTGAGGAAGCTGAAACACCTTGCACACCTTATGTTTTTGCCTGATTTTTAGGTATTGCAGGCTCTTGTCCTACAGTGTGGAGGAGAGGTAAATGTCAATCTGCATTTGTCAATAATCAATGGTCAAAACAGCATCATTAAGCAAATACTAAAATAAATAGTTGCATAAACTAAGTGTGTAAGAAGGTCTTCACACTTCATGTGTTCTGTTCTGTATCATCTTAAATCTATGTTGAGAAAAATTCAAAGAATTTTCAAAAAAAATCAGCACTGTTGTCCATGCTTGTTTGTTTACTGTTCTTCTTCTTCTTATAAGGCAGATTTGCCGTGATATTTCTCTCGCTTCCGGGTGTCCCCTATTCAATCTATGGGTAACCCCCGTGTTTCACGTCACAACGCTATGAACTGTGGGCAATATCCTCAGGAAAAGTCTGCAGAAATGCGGACTTACGAAAAGGGCTCAAAAAGGGCTCAAAATGTCCGCGAGAGAGCCCTCGCGCACTTGACGATTTGACAGTGGGACAGCCCTAAACTCTCACGGACTCACGGACTCACCGGGAACGCGCCTCAAAGTGTGGACCATAGACTGTATATAAAAAGGTGCGGACGAGGGGATTGGGTCGTCTTTTGTGCCGTCCTAGTTGAGCTTACCCAATCGATGCCCGAGTAATCGATCCTAAGTTGAAAGTCCAATAAAGGTTTAATTTTGTCCCGTTTGTTTTGTCCAGTTGATGCCAGCAGTCGCTGGTAGATAAAGCGGGATGGGCACCGAGTTGACTTTCTCCTCTCGTCGGTCTCCTGTGGTGTGTTTACACGGCTGTGTGGCGTCCAGCCAGTCGCTAGCTTCAAATATTGGACTTGGTGAGTGGTACACTGCAAAAATGAATCTCCCCAGAGAGTTGCACATTTTTTTTGTTTTTATGCATGAATTTTGTTAATTTTTCAAAATCTCAACATATAAAATCAGAAAAAAAACACCATAGATTTTGCAACACAAAGGACAGACATGACAAAATAGTTTATTTATATAGGCTATATAATATTATAATTTTTGTATAAAGTTTGCTTTGTAAGTAGCTTAGAGGAAAAAGTACAATCGTCATCTCATTATACAACCCTGTTGTAAAATGACAATTAAATTTACCTTGTACTTTGTACCTTGTCTAGTCATTAATCTTGTTTTGTCCAACCAACAACAGTCGAAAACAAAAAGATATTAGGCTTACCATGATATTAGCCTTAGAGAAATACAGGCGGCAAATACTCATATTTGAGAACCTGGACGTTTTAGCAAAAGTTTGCTTGAGAAAAGGCAGAGAGGATGAGTCAATCATTAAAATAGTTGATTCATTTTCTGGCAATCGATTATTTAATTGTTTCAGCTGTCGCCTATACTACAGTAAATAGCTCAGTGTATGGTGTAGTGTTTAAGATTTTTCATATATTTCCCTCACAGTCAAGGCAGCCAATGGTTTCCTTATTATATGAAAATTAGTGTACAGGCTACTTGCTTATCCTCATTTTAAGGTAATGCAGATTAATTTAAAAGGGCTTTTCTGTACTAGCAGGAAAGTAATATTCAGTATTTAGGTCTGATTTAGCTAAAACATACTGGTACGGTTATGTAATACGGATATGTATTTGTTGTGTCCAGACATCTTGAAGCGTGGTGGTAATGCAGCAGATGCTGCAGTTGCCATGGCAGCAGCCCTGGCGGTAACAGAGCCAGGCAGCACCGGTCCGGGCGGAGATGCCTTCTGCTTGTTCTACAACGAAAACACTGGCGAGATCCGAGCAATTAACGGCAGGTGGCGACTCTTCTCTCTCTGATGTTGTTGTCTTCACAATACAGAATGATTAGCTAAGCCTCTCTCTGTTTCCTCAGTGGTCGTTCGCCCAGAGCTCAGACACTGGACTTCCTGGAAGGACGTGGTTACACTGCAGAGGCCCCTCCTCCACCTTATGATGCCTTGAATGTTACTGTACCAGGGGCCCCTGCATGCTGGTGTGATACCGTACAGCTGTTTGGCAGTAACAAGGTGTAGCTGTGTGTGTGTTCTTGTATCCAACTGTGTAGAACTGTGTTTGATGCAACACCAGGTAGCCAAAAGCCCATCTAACATAATAATTTACAAGACATAAACATCTTAACCGTAAACACTGCCATAGGAACCATACTGAAAAACACCACCAACCATATCTGGAAGTAGGACTCTCGACTCTTAAGTGTGATCTAAACAGTGGTGTTGAAGGAGGTGAATCAAGGAAATATAAACAAGGAGTGGACAAAGTAACAATCATTGGGTTCTGTGGATAGTGAAAACAACAGTGACGTAGCCATGTTAGGTAGGGTTTATACAAGTCCATGAAAATGATTGCAAGATTTTAAAATATGGCTCAAACTTAAACTATTGGGGGCCACTGATCTGGTTGCTCTTTGCCAGGGGGCCCCTTGGACACAGCAGAAAACTCCAGTGGATTTGTCAACACTACATTTCAATCAAAAGCTACGCTGAACTACTTGTCTGCTTGAGATTGTGTTCCTGGAGAACAACATCTTTCTCTTTGCAGGTGTAAAGCAGTGACATTAATCACAAAAACAATCTCTCTGTTCCCCAGATCAACCTGGGGTTGCAGTAAAAAATGATAAAATTCCTCCGAAAAAGGGAAAATCTTAACTTGCAGGCAGAATTCAGCAATAAAATGGAAAAATGAAATGGTCTCACAGACTTGATGTGGTGCCAGTGCCTTTAATTAAAATGAATATTAATGTTTTACAGGGTTTTTCTCTTTGTATAGCATGTCCACTTAGTCTTCTGCTGGGCATAATTCAAAATCAAAAATGTCATAAGATTTTTCATTAATTTGCATAGGGCTTCTCCTATATTTCCCATTCACAATTTCATAACTTTCTTTACCTATGTACAATCACAAATATACTATACACAGTATACTGAACCAGCATTTAACAATTATAGAAGGAAAAATCAACGAAAATAAATACAACATGCTCTCTATTGTTTATTTTGCATTATGAGAATGTGTTTTGGAAACTATTAACTGTTAACTAAAGTAGTGAATATTAAGGGGATTTTGGCACATAAGAAAAGTGAAAAACACCTTGTCATAAAGTCCTCCTGTATCCTCTCATTTGCACAGAAATGTTTTCTGTGTGGAACTCCCTCAGAGGAAATTACAACTGTTTTAGTCTCTACATATATTTATTCTCAAAACAGCAACTCCTACTTCTTGCTTAGAGTGGTTTCCTTCCTCTCCCTGTTTCCATAGCTGTCCTTGCAGGAGGTGCTGAGTGGGGCGGCGGAGCTTGCAGAGGTGGGGTTTCCTGTTGCCGAGGTGACAGCTCACCAGTGGGCGAACGGGGTGTCTGCTCTGAGAGATGCTGGGAAGGAACTAGGTGGAGACCTGCTAATTGATGGTCATGCACCCAAATGTGGACAAGTATTCAGAAACCCTTCCCTGGCCCAGACCCTGAAGGTAAATCCTTGAAATAACACACAAAAAACACATGGCCAACTTTCACAGGTCATTTGAGGAGCACTGGGCCATTTGTTTGTGAACTCATGTTATTTCGACAGAAGGAAACAGAACAATGTAGAACCCCAGAGAAACTATTGTGCTGGTTCCACGTCCTCCCTGTGGCTTGTTTGCTTTTTCTAAACTTGACTTAGCCTTCTATATAGGAAGACCTTGGATGGACCCAGGGGCATGGCGGGTAATGAACTCATTAGCGTACTGGACTCAGTATAGAAGGAAAACAAGATAGATAGGGGGAGGGAGGAATATAGCTTGTGCTGGGGTGGACAAAGTAGGGAGGATATCAAATGAGGCAGACAGAGAGGGAAGGGCGGAGGGGAAGGAAATGCAGACAGAGAGATGATAGAAATGCAAAGCTGAAACGGTCAAAAGAAAAAGAAAGAGGGAAGGCTGAAACAAAAAAAAAGGAGTGCAAAGAAGAAAAGAAGTAAGATTATAGGTGGATGTGATAAAGAAATGTATTATAAAAATCATCTGTAATATATTTTTCCCAACATAAAAATCCACTGTAAACATGAATTCAAACTGACCATAGCCAACTAGGGATAGCAATATGGGTCTGTCTGTCTGGCAGATGGTTGGTCCGCCACTTTGGTCCAGACTGAAATACCATGATATTATGTACAGAAATTCATGGTCCCCATTAGATTAATCCCACTGATCCCATAACGTTTCATCGAGCACCACCAGCAGGTCAGTTTTTTTGGTTTATGACAAAATTACATTCCTATGAGCCTCATCCACCTGCTTATATGTTATCATCGTCATTGTGAGCATTTTAGCGTTGACATTTGCATTTAGCTCAAAGCACAACTGTGCCTCAATGCAGTCTCATAGAGCACTTCAGACAGTATGCAAGTAATGGAATAAATCAACATTATCACTGAGACCACTTAAGGTCAAATATGAATTTTGACATAATCTTTTCTTGTGTGTCATGTCCGTATAAAGCTTTAAATTGCCAATGTATTGTTAAACTGCACAGAATTTGTACTACTAATAAAAATTACTCTGAAGGAACTGAAATTGTCAGAGTATACTCACCCTGACGTGACACTTTTACGTGCATCTGAATATTCTTTGAAACATAATTTAGATGTCGTGCTGTGACAACACAACTCTCCATTGAAACTATTTTAAGGGAGGTGGCACATTTTCTACTTTCCTGTTGAGTATGTGAATGTGTGACCGTGATTGTGTGTGGACAATGTAGTATTCATAAAACCACACTCATTCTGTAGTTTCCTGTCAGTGAGATTCACTAGAAGGTGGATAAATACACAGTCTGTGTATGCTTATGTGTCACCATGAAAGCATGTACTGATTGATCCACCTCACATCAAACACTCACATCACTAATGCAGTAATGCAGGAACACTGCCAAGTACGCCCATATGCCCCTCCACACACACACTCACTTTCCTTAGACAATAGCAATGACCTCAGCGTCATTGATGAATTGTTTCCACGGCATCATAACAGTCATTCCACAGGGATGACCATTTGTGTTACTTCCTTGTGATGACAAATCACATGTTCACACTCACCATTCTGTTAATTTAATATATTGATTAGACTGGTAGATATACACAATACGCAGATTAGACATTCCATCATGCAAAACATCATGTTTTCTATGTTTTTGTGTGTTTCGTTCTGTGGTTTGGAAACATGTAGATGGATGGCAGAATGCAAAGAGAGAAACTCTTGATTGACTGAATAGATTCATTGATCGGTGTATCGACAGGATCTCGGTGAGCGTGGCAAACCAGCTTTCTACCACGGCAGAGTTGCCCAAGCAATCGTTGATGTCATCAACCAAAATGGTGGAGTCATGACCCTTGATGACCTTAACAGCCATGAGAGCGAGGTCATTACCGCTATAAGCACGGAATACAAGGTGAGGTCAGCGACCATAATTCATTATTGTATCTGTATTTTGATTATATGGTCAGCTGAGTGAATGACTCCATTATGTGTTCAGGGTGTGCGTCTGTGGGAGCCTCCTCCTAATAGCCAGGGATTGACTGCCTTGCTGTTACTCAACATCCTTGAGCACTTCCCTCTCAAAGGTATTCCCTGGCATGCTGATGCATATCACCAGCAGAGATGCATTTGGGCCACAAGCTAGATAATCTAGAAAAACAGTTTTCATAGTGACTATTTCTTTGGTAGAAAGTAGTTCCAGTTAAAACTTCATTTCATACCCCCCAACCCCACCACCACCACCACCCCAACACCCCAACACACCCTACATGCATTTTTCGCAATGCACATTAATAATGGCTCCTTTCTTTTTTTTTCTCAATCAGTAAAAAGGACAGCCCTGGAACTTTGACTCTGACTCAGCCAGGTCCTCCAGTGACAGCTGACATGACTCAGTAGATGTCTCACACTCGCTCTGATTCATCTTAGACTAGAAAGCCTGCTAACACTGGTCAGGGCAGAAAAAAACAACTAGCCATACAGCAAAAGAAGCAGTACTAGTATATATTTGAACACACTTATTGAAAACTGATCTCTGGGAAGTGCAGTGATAACCAGCAAATCAATTAGAGCTTAGCATAAAAAATTGAACAAATCTACGTAATAGCCCTGTAAGAACCCTGGTGACCCGCCTCTGCCTGGATGGTTGTCTCTATAACCTTTGAATGAATATCTCCACAAATTTCAAGTATCTTTAGTGACAGCAAGTAAAAAAAATGACTATGAAATGTTAATTTTGGAAATGACACTATATATCTCCATTGAATAATGTGATGTACTCACGGAATCATAAAGTTAATTTTTATATTTATTGATCTATCGTCTGTACTTGAAGTTCATGTCATCCTTTCCTCAGCTCCTTCAAGGGGCAAATAAAAAAATCACATAAAAAACGCATAGAATAGAATATGATTTGCAGTCATCTGTTGCAGCTCAGATATTTCACACATTGTTCTGTGCATGTGTGTGTGTGTGTGTGTGTGTGTGTGTGTGTGTGTGTGTGTGAAGCTGTCGGCCATAACAGCTCTGACTACGTCCATGTACTGGTGGAGGCTGTGCGCTTGGCTCAAACAGACACTCTACATTACCTGGGCGACCCACACCATGTGACCATCCCTCTGGAAACCTTACTGGACAAGAGCTACAGCCACCAGCGAGCGCAGCGCATCAGCATGGACAGGTGTGTGCTTCTGTGTGTTTGTTAGTACCAGGATATACCAGCCGTGCTCTGTTGACTTAAGATAAGATTGTATACTTTTACTTCCCTCCCCCCGACCTTAACGTGCATCCATTCATGCCACGGTCCCTCCTCCTCTCCTCCTCTGTGTGTGTGTGTGTGTGTGTGTGTGTGTGTGTGTGTGTGTTTTGGCAACAATGTGTATTTACTGGTCAGTACTGTAGACTTTGAACTAGTCTTCATAAGTTATTAAAGTATAAAATAACATAATGATCTAAAACACACACACAAACATATTCTGTGGTACTAAATCCAGCTGTTACATCATTGTGTTACTGAATTAGGCAGCACATACAAATGCATACACCAATCCTACACCTTCATTTCATTCAGTACCACCTAACTCAACCTTAATGATTCAACCAATCGTAAATTTAATTAAATTAAATTCATGTTTACACGTATTGCAGTAACCTGGTTAAAAACCTGTGTCTATATGCAGCCTGTTACCAATCAGATTTCTCAGCCAACACCTTGCTTCAGCCTATTCCTTTTTCGGTTGTTAATGTTGTGAGTTATTTTGTGTGAATGGATTGGTGTAAGCATGTGAAGGTTTCTGCAAAATTGCATATTCACACAAATTGGCGATCTTTGTACATTATAATGTAAACTGAAATAAACCATTCATTCATTCAAAAATAAACCATTAATTCAAATTGTGCCGAGAAAAGTGCTTTGGGAATGAAATGAAATGAAAACCCTGTATGTATATGATCTTGTCTGTTATTTCTGCTTGAAGATGCAAGAATGTTCGGCCTCCGAAATTAATCGGCCGACAATAGCAAAAATAGCACTTTGGCCTTGTAAGTCAAAAGACTGAATAAATTTGACTGAACAATTACGTTGACATGTCACTAGTGTGGAAGCATTTTAAAGTGTCAGAGAAAGATACAAAAATCACCAGACACTGTTTTTCTGAACTGTCTCCTAGTACATCCACTCCATCAGTGGTTTGACATGCTTTGAGTGTTTCTGTCACTCGTTTCTGAGAGGGCACTTAAGATAGTCGCACCTATATTTGGAGTGCACACGTATTCAAGCCTTTATGATAAATCCACTGAAACGGACCAGTGCGAGCTGACGGGCAGGCACTTTGGCGTTGCGATCAAGTTCCATGTTTGGTACCCCGTAGACCGGGGTTCAAATCTGGGTCCTGCTCTTGCCTTTCCGTCACATATAGTGTCAGAAGTGGGATGGCTTGCCGTGAAATTGTCTGAGGCGTACCCAGTGTGTGATGCGTACGAGGGACCCCCAGGGTTGGTGGACCCCTGTGGGACCCCAGACCAACAGTAATGATTTATGTATGTTTTTAATTGTTGTTTGTGTGTGTACCTGTAGGGCCATGGAAAATGCGGAGCCTGGACTGATGGCAGGAAGTGACACAGTTTATTTCTGTGTGATTGACAGTCAGGGCAATGCCTGCTCATTTGTCAACAGCACCTATATGGGCTTTGGAAGTGGACTGGTCCCCAAGGATTGTGGATTCTCACTACAGGTCTGAGGGGTCAGAGAGAGGGAATGAGTGTCTATTTGTGTGCATACGAGATAGTGGAGAGTAGGTGGCAATTTCATTGGATTTGATGAATAAGAATTAAAGCCCCGTGTGACACTGAAATGCAGTAGTTGTGTACTAGATGAGCAGTGTAAGTGTCGGACTATGTGATGATAAATTGAGTTCAGTCTTTGATGGGTGAAGCCAAGACAAAAACAGAACACAACCAGCCATGACGATTAGGTTGAAATTTCATATTTTAAGATCATGTTTCGTTGGTTACATTACCTTACAAGAGCAGGCATGTATAGTGTGCTTGTGCTTTGTATAAGTCTCTGTAAATATGTGTGAGGTGCTAACCTGGAAACATTTTTGAAAATCATGGACGAGATCTATGAAGATGTATTGTTGTTGTGATATGATAATATGCACTGATCTTCATATCCATAAAACTTTTCGACTTATCGACTGTGAAGGAAACCAAAAAACAGTCTGTATAATTTAATGAAATCTCTTTTTCCCACTCACAGAACCGTGGTGCCAGCTTTTCTCTGCGTCGTAACCACATTAACTGTGTTGCTGGGGGGAAGCGGCCATATCACACCATAATATCTGCACTTCTAACTGACTCTCCAACCAAATCACAAAAAACAAAACTCCTCGCTGCACTGGGGGTGATGGGGGCTTTTATGCAACCACAAGGACATGTCCAGGTACGCTGGAATCAAGAATTGACTGGGGTGAAGTGCAGAACAATTATTATTTATTTTTTCTCTCTTTTGTTTTTGACCATTAACTTTTGATTTGTCGATTTGTAAATCATTTTCTATTGGTTATTTTATGGTCTAAATCAGGCATTGGAGAAATCGTAATTGGAAAAATGTGTTAATGAGTTAATAATAGGGCTGAACGATTAATTGATTTGCGATATTATCGCGATGTAATAAAACAAGATTTTCTAATCGCAAAGGCTCTGGTCACATGACACCCAAGAGGAAAGCAGTCTGCCTAAGTTGATGCTTCGTCTGCACGTTATGCTGTACCTTGCCTTCTTGTTGTACAATGGCCTTAAGCTTGACAGAAGCTGACACAACATAAACTTTAGTGTCACACAGGGAATAAAAGTTGTACCCTGTGGGTGAAATCGTTGGGCCATCAGCCGCTTTGACGGACAGGAAAAATGCACAACAGAAACACACGTGTAGTAAGTTAAGCGTATTGTGGTGATCGGCGCCTGCGTCAAGCACACAGCCACCAGTCAGCTCAGGAAAAATCAAACTCACAAGTCTGAAAGAGGCTCAGTCTGTCCCGAGTTACAGTCTGTTACAGTCTGGTTACAGCCAGTACGCCACTTACCAGCTTCGCAGGCTGCAGGGGAACTCCGGTGGTGTCGGAGAATTACTAAGCTTGTCTATTAAACATGAGAGGCGTCACTCTGTTTTATTTTCGTTGGCCAACTTTTGAATTGAACCTCAAACTGAGTATTTTTTGTTTGCTTACTGGGATACAGAAAGATGGACTCCGAGCAGATTTGAACTGAGATAAGGACTCATTGATTGGTGGTTGAACTGTGAATTTTGTATTGAGCGCTTACTGTAAAACACACACTGGTAAACTTAGTTTTTCTTGTGGTCTGTAGGTAGGCCCGACCTGATGATATTATATCATATTATTTAACTTGACTTGATTACTTGACTCAAATTATCTTTCTCATATTATTATAATTTGATATATCTTCCCCACCATTGCTCATAATAATAATTCTACCTAATTTCATCATAACACAGGCCTGACCCACAAGAAAGAACAGTGTATGTTCTATCTCTCTAATATTGTGTTGGTCATACTCTACACTAATTTACTGCTTGTCCGTTTTGAATAATACAGAAGGTAAAGAGCTTAAAAATTAATCGCATATTAAATCGCAATCACAATATTGGTAAAAAAAATAAAATAACGTTCAGTCCTAGTTTATAACCATTGTGCTGTTGTGTTTAGGTGTTGTTGAACATGTTGGAGTTTGGGATGAATCCTCAACAAGCTCTGGACGCACCAAGAGTCTATGTACAGTATGACCACAAAAGTATGCCCCAGCACACAGACACACACACACATACATAGATTCTGTATACAGAAAGCATTGTGTTGTGTTAGTATCAACATGATTTATTTAACTTAAATTGGCTTCACCTTCACCTATGTGGCTTCGTGCTGTAGTAAATATGGTAGAGCGGTGGTCAGATGAACGCTCTGTTATGTTAGATGACATCGTAAACTGTAACTTCATTTGGATACGAGATGAGAGTTCTGGAAGTTTTGTGAAAGAAGACCGTGTATTCGACAACCTTCTGTCCTTCGTTTATGTAAAGCACTATTTTTAACAAAGTCATATTTTGATTAAACATTCTGTGTCTAGCTGATCAGTGGTTGGTTAATTTGGAGGAGGGGTTTGACCAGGAGGTAGCAGAGGAGCTGAGAAGACGGGGCCACAATGTGAACTGGCCGATCACAGGTACTTTTTTTTACCAACACAATTACTGTTTACAGTGGCTGCATGGTATTTTTCACAGGACAAGTATGCCATGGTTCCAACTAACTAACTAACTAACAGGGGGAAATAATTGATAACATATTTTACAACAAAAAAGATGTTACATGTAGCCTGCTCAAGTTAATGTGTTGCATTAATGGTTATATTGAGGTGTTGTAGCGGCCATAAACCAATGAGACCATCACTGAAACAACTGGCAGTCTCAAATCGGTGGTATTGGACCGTAGTTGCCATAAACTACTTCCTTGCTTCATGTTGCAAACAGGATGCTTTTATTAGTTCCTCTTCCCTACCCTGGCATCATTCTGGGTGAATTAGTTTGCTCTTTAGCTTGTAATATTGTATGGCACTAGCTAGACATTCTGTTAGCACCATCCAACCAAAAGCCTTCCTCTCAGCATGAAAATGGGACTTGGAATATTTTGGTCTACAGTATATAATAGATAGGACAGTTTAATGGGCTCAATGCTATTTGTGTTTTCATTCAAACACACAGGCCACAAGAGGTCTCAGTTTGGACGGGGACAGATCATCACTGTGGGGGATTGGTGGAACCCATCTGTCAAACACGCTGATCATCCATCCAGGGTGTTGTGGGCAGGATCAGACCCCAGATCGGATGGATGTGCTCAGGGATACTAGACATACGTGACCTCTTCTTGTCTTCCCTGTAGATATTACAAATTACAAATCACAAAACTTTCTAAAGGTAAATGCCTACATATGAAATGTAGAGCAGAAGTACTATAAATATTTGGCTGTGACACAACTGTGTCAAAGAACACGCTGAACTTTTTCCTTTGGCTTTGTTAATTAGCCGATAGGTTTAACACAATTATAGCACAGCATCACACACCTTTTAAGTGTCTTCTTTTATCATGTTTTTATATCACATGTACATATCATATAAAATCTCTCCTAACAGTTTGAGTTTAAACTGTACGGCGTATTTCATAGTTTTGGCACTACATGGCTTATATCACTCCACGTCCTTCTGATTTCAAGCTACATTTATAAGCTAGTGCACTATTTAGTTTTTCATTTTTGTGTCAGAGCATTTGATGTATTGATTGCTGTTTGATGTAAATAGAATTTCAACAAATATAACAAAAAATGCTAAAAAAAAATTACTCACCCCAGCTTTAAAGCAGCAGTCGGTAACAGTTGAACATGCAATTCAGAACTCTCTCTCTGCTGCTCGTATCACTCCGCTAAGCCACTCCCACGAAACCCACAAGAAGAAACAGGGTGCCTTTCGTGAACTCATCCAGCCGAAATAACTACATCACAATGCCAATTTGTTAAAAATATATATATCCTATTATGTGTGGTCTATATTATACAGTATGAAGTAGTCCCACAGAGCTCTGGCAGCTACAATAACAACAGTGGGACCGGAAACACGGTAGCTCGCTGCTGAGAAGCGCGAGTAAAGATAAATCAATCTATTATTCCCCAAAAATACAAGTGAAATCTGACCTACTCCCACCGGTTAACGGCCCAGTTATCAGAGCAGAATCCAGTGTGACTGCGGGTGTTTATTTGTCCAAAAATCTGGCGCCACCACCAGGTCTCTCCTCCAGAGCTTCCCATAGCTCAGCAGCTGTTTGTCTGCGAGCAGCGGGTCTGTCCCTCTGCTCTTCCCGCTAGTGTTGCGTTGTTCAAAGAACATTTCATTCATTTGACCTAATCTTGTGTGAGGAACGAGTTGTCTGAAGGAGTGATTCATTCATTTTCACGCATGTGTGAATAGCCTTGGACTCTTATGTTCACTCGTCACACGGCAGCTGCATGGGCTCCGTCAGCACAGGAAACAGAATTGATTAGTTCACGACTCTCAACTGTGGCTGTCCAGGTTTGAGTCGTTCATTTGTCACGTGACTGCTCGGCTACTGTGGAGCAGGTATGAACTATTCGTTCACCACCAGTGTTCACTGGACTGACATTACGGTACTGTAACTTTAGTCCTGCTAGTGTTTACAGCTAACAGCTGATGAGAGTTGTTCTGAGTCCGCTCCACTTCAGTGCTCTGACAGGGTTCTACTGGGAGCCGAATTACCTCCACGGTCGTCTCCTCTCCAAAACAAACAGACAGGGTCATTAAAACATTAACACACAGCCACATAGCAACGTTAACGTTAGCCCTGTGGTGTGTTTAGCCAGAGTAGTGGAAATTGCACATAGACAACATATTTCTGTGGTTTTTACATGGTTTGAATTTGTTTGTGGCCCCATGGGGCTTTATAGAAAGATGATAGAGAAAGATCAAGAGGTAAATTTGTGCATTATACTTTAAAGCAAGCCAGGCAGAACTGCGCTTTTTTTTAACATTGCCCACTAATAACCACCCTAGTTCAAAAAAAAGATTAGTTCATTTTAATGAACGAGATTTTAAGATTCGAGTCAAAAGAGTCACTTTTACCATTACTACTGCCCGCTGTCCTTGTACTCAGCACAGCGAATCTCATGCTAGAGCTGAATAATTGTCATCACAAGCGATGGAGAGCTGCTGGCGATTTATCGCATAGTCGTGCTCTTTGCATCGGCAGCAGGAAATTGCGTCCCTTTGCATTGACTTTGAATGTAATCGCACCTCTCCCAGTGCTGGCATGGCGTGTACAAAACCAGCATAACGCTTCGTGGCCCAGGTTGGAGCTCCCCAGGCTTCAGAGGCAGCTGTGACAACGTCTAACTGCGGGATAAGAGGCTATTACACCACTGTCAACACATTACATTACATACCAAAGATGCCTTTCGTCAAGTCTGTCTTTTGGTTGAGATAATTATCTCTTTCAGTCTCTTTAATTAGTTGCTGCTGATCTGAACAATATCATTAAACCCTGCTTCCTCAGTAAATGATAGTTGCATCTTTTCTCTGGTCTACATTTTACAAAACAAACTGAGTTTAGATTATAAAACAATGGGATGTGAATCAAGTCCATCAATGTTACTCTATATCTTCTTTGCTGTTGTTGGAAATTAACTGATTTAACACTCTGTAAATGATCTATGAAATATGCTGGATCTGTTGATAATTTTGTAATTAAAAAATAAATGTTATTTATTTTCTAGTGATGCTTTGTTTTCAAGGGTCAGGGGCTCATAATCCTCTACAGATTCCTCTGGACCTGATGAAGAGCTGATTTGGGCTCAAAATATCTTCTTCATTACATAAAGAAAAGCACAATGTTTTAACAGGAGTAGTTAATACTGCTGGGATTACTTTGGCAATTATTATTCAGTTGATCAGTCATATAACCAGTTGGTCCAGAGCAAGATATCTCAAAAAAGGATCACCAAATGATAATTCCTAAAAAAACAAAAAACAAAAAAACAATGTATGTTGCACCACTGTAATGCAAGTAAAACTCATTTTGTACAAAACATCAACAACTTGTCACAGTCCATGAGCTATGGTCTGGCACCTCCAAACCAAAATGTCAGCTGTGCACAAAAGATATCCCACAGTATATTATGCAGATTACCAAGCATAAAGTGGCTGTTTTGCCTTGTTGATGTGCATGAGCTTTATCTTTTAGTGATATGTAGCTGTAGGGAAACGCCCTGCTGCCCCTCAATATCCCACACAGACGGGAAAAATACAGAGACAGACACAATAAATTATATCACAGTAAATGCAGTGGCTAGGATTGTGTGAAAAAGGATGTTGAAAATGTGGGTGAGTTGGTAAACAGCTTGTAAACCACTTGCACCCTGGAGCAGGAGAGCTCAAACAGGATTCTACTTCAACAATGTCCAAAGTCCAATATCATGTTTCTACATCAAGAGATTTGTGTTGATCTCCTTACAGCTCCAAACCCTACCTGGTACTGACCATTTACTCCTATAAAGAGCCATGTGTTCTGTCACCCAAACAAACTCTGTTTTACATAATCTGCCTTAATTAATGCTGATTGAAACAGCTTGTTGTAGCAGATCGTTAGTGGCCAGTTCCACTTTATAGTACAGTTTATCTGGATGTGATACCTTCCAGCTGGATTTTAAAGCATTCTTTCTGACACAGCACTATTAGGAGACATGTTTTGCCAAATTGCCCTACATTGACCTGTTTAGCTGTTGTATCATACTGGTCTAGAGCCGTCCTTGCCTGTAGGCATTATAATGAATTTGGGAACATTTATAAAACATTTTGGATCGTAATGGTCCTATTAGACTGATCTGATGTTGCTGTCTAGTGAAAACCTCTGCTTTTTACATATTATTTTAATTTTTGCATCTATAATGCATTAAAATATATGTAGAAGAGTGAAAACAATCTTAGATCTTTGTGGCATATAACCTTTAATCCAGATTTAATATACCACTAAATATGTTGTCATCAAGGTTTGTCATCTACTTATTTTTTAAGTTTATATTTTGGAAATATGAATTCTGTTGTCACTTAAAAAAATGTATAATCATGTAGATAATACATTAGCAGTGTTGCTGCAAGTGTTGGAAAGAAACTAATAACATTTATTGAAGTACATGTACTAGTAATTAAGTACAGATCTGCAGTAGTTGTACTTACTACTGCACTAGAATTCAGAGGGAAATTGTCACATTCTGCCTGTCTGCTATGCTTAATTTAGCTCTCTGTGAGTTTTGTTTATTGGTCGGTAGGGTTGGGCAATAAATCAATAATGATAATTAACGCAATATAATTTTTTTTCCCTCAATAACAATTTAACAAAAATTCAATATATTGTCACTAAAAAGTTTTATTAAATTAATTTGAATCATGAACAAATTAGCACTTAATTTTTCTATTAAGATATTTATTTTGTTGAGGAAAAGGGACTGAAAAAAGATTTTACTTAAGTTTATTAAAAATAAGATTTTGTTGTTTCGAATGTTCTTCCTCAGATTTGTTATGTGATCTACTGTTTGGCAAGTTTTTGTCATGTTCTGCTCATGAACAGTTTAAAACCGCTATTAACCATCTGGTTTCTTCAAAAAGCAAAAATCAGCATTTCAAATTGAAAGAAATAATGATTTGACATTTATTGATAATTATCAATATCGAATTGTATGAAATTTTTATCGTGATAAAATCTTTGGCCATATCGCCCAGCCCTATTGGTCAGTTCTGTATCTGTTGTGTATTGGTATTTTCCTTATTTCAGAGGGCTGTTTCACAAAAGCAGAATTGAGAAATCTTGGATAAGGGATAAAGCTAGACTTAGACCAAGTGTGATAAGAGCATTCCTGGCTTTATCTGTTTCACGAAGGCCAAACCAGGCTCAGTAGGAGCGGCTATTTCAAGCCAGGTGTACATAATTCAGATAAATGCGCGTCAACAACTTTCTTCAAGAGACCACACGGTCGATCACAGATTAATTGATGTTGAAATGGAAAAGACGTGCAGCATACTTTATTTGCTGTTACTTACTGGTATGTCAATTTTGTGTGAAAATGGTGTACTTGTTTAGTCAATATGGATAATAGATAAAAAGTCAGTGATGTGGTGCTCATAGAAAATACTCATATTTGTAACCCTGAGGCTGTAGTCCTACAGTCTGACAGCCAGTCTGGCAATGTAGTATGTATGGACATCATTAATCCTGGACACCCACAGGTGAACACTTCCTGCTGTGCTAATTGATAAGTGTTTTACAAACTGTCAGATGTCTGAACTGCACACACTTGAAAAAAAATAACAAAATAAAATATCAATAAAACCGCGGCAGTACTTGGACCTAGTTATGGAGATAAAATGAGGCACTGAGGAAACTGACTTGGAAATCCAGCAACTACAAAGAGAAGTGATCATTGCAAAGCACACTGTAAGCATGACTGTAACACAATGTATTAATCATTGTTTTCTCTCCCAAGCTCGCAGCAGAGTGATCCCAGGGAGAGAGAAAAAAGGTCAAAAATCATTGTGGTGTCCTCTCCCTGCTGTTTCATGAACAAACAGTGCACAATATAGCCTCCTTATTGAAGTGGGACTATAATTTGAGAGTATTATTATTAAGTATGAAACTTAATGAAAATTATATAAGCACATATATATTTATAGATATATATAGATATATAGATATCTATATATATATTACAATAGATCCTATATAGTGTGTGCCATACATTTCTTGAGTGACATATAACGTCCGGTGTGGTGCTCACTTTTAAGGCACAATATGACATTATAATTATGACAGTTTCAGTTAAGAGCAGTGATATTTTTAGCTACTCACACATTCAGTCAGTCGACTATTGGTTGCCAAACTTTCTTTTGCTGTTTTATTACTGTGCTCGTGTTACTTTTTCTTTTATCTATAATTTTTCTTTACATGTGTTTTCATTCCACGTAAACCTACTCGCTGATGCTGGTTGTGAGCAAAGTATGGTGCACGCGTCTTCTCCGATTATGAAACCTAATAATCACAAACTACTATTTTAATGCAGGCTTCTGAAAAACATGCCAAACACATACATAAGAACATGGAATGACTGGAAAAAAACACTTTGGTTTCTGATCAGAGTGACCTCTGACTGAACAGATAAGGCACCAGGGTTAACTAAGCCTGGCTGATAGCCTGGTCTGGAGCAGGCTAGCTGCACAGAATAAATCACCATGGTAGCTTATGTGCTACTGCTTTCGTGAAACCGAGTCACGGCTTAATTCAGCCAGGATATCTGGAAAATCCCGGCTTAATCCGCTATCTTGGTTTTGTGAAACAGCCCTCTGGTGTTAAATGTTTGCTGTTTCTGTTTAGTCTCTGTCTGGTGATTGTCGTGTGATGAGTGTGCTCCCTGTCTCTGTGTTGCCTGATCTGCTGTTTGGACATTTTACACCCGAACTGGATGTAAGCCTGAGTTTTTGTGTTTTTGGATTAAAACCTGTGCTCCTTCAGTCAACTCTCCAGTGTCTTGCATTTGGGATCTCTCCTGCTTTGCATTCATCAAAACTGTGACAGAAATATTGTATTTATTTACTCAACTACATTAGTCTGACAGCTATTTGGTATTAGTTACTTTAGAGATTTTAGATTTTACATATAAAACATATCAGTGTATAAAATATGATGCACTGTTAAAGATAAAGGATTTACTGAAATTAGCTCCACTTCTACAGGATCATTAATAATTAAGGATCCAGTAACGCTGACAGGTGATATTCGTCTGCATAACAATTTTTTTTTTTCTTTAAGTACATTTGTTGCTAATACTTTTAATATAACATTTTGAATTCAGGATTGCACTTGTAATACATTTTTATGAATTGGGATTCCTAATATTAAATTATCTGAACTGGTTCTTTCACGCTATAAAGTGGTGCATAGGAAATTGAGCAATGTGCTAGATTTCTTGTTCTTTTTATCTAGTAAATGAATTTATACTGTGATATACTATTATGGGTATAGTAGTAGTATAGTACAGATTAGTATTGAAACAACCAGTTTCTTTCGTTGTATTTTGTAATATTGTAAATTGACTAACTTTTGGTTTTGGGACATATATATATATATATATATATATATATATATATATATATATATCAATAATGGATAATGTAAGTAACTGCTGGTTTCAGCCCTAGTACATATATGTTACATTTACACAAAGTAGTGTACACATACTATACAAATGTGTACACCATATGGAAAAAAGGGATTAGGAATAAATGCACTGATTATGTTGTTCAAAACATGTGGCAAGTCATTCTGAGGGAAATAGTCTTTAGAGTGCTGTGTGTGACCCTGCTGTCTAAGAGGCTGTGGGAAACAAACACACACACACACACACACACACACTCTTGTGGGATTTTCATATTTCTGGTTGAGTTCTGTGCAACCATTCTTGTGAGCGTGTTTCCTGGCGGACAATGTGTCATTGCAGAACTCCCTCTGTAAGGAAGGAGAATCTGTTCAGAAACACTTATGTGTGCGTGTGTGCACGCACACACACGCAGGGCTCTTGTCACTTGTTTCTGTTTCCTGGCTCCCCAGCTGCTCTGACCCTTCCCTCCCCTCTTTCTCTGCTCTCCTCGGCCCATTCCAGTTCTCTCCTCTCCTCCCTGCGGTCGTGAGTGTGTTTCAGGGTGAGCAATGTGTTGTTCGGTGGGTTTC